CGATTTTATATCTATATTAGCATTCTTTATCATTTATAATACCTAGATATGTTTTAAAATGAAATTTAAAACATTTTTGGTTGTGATCACAGTAGGCTACTTTCAAAAAAATTTCGATTTTATATCTGTATTACCATTGTTATCATTTATAATACGTAGATATGTTTTAAAATGCAATTTAAAGCATTTTTGGTTTTGATCATAGTAGGCTACTTTCAAAAAAATGCCGATTTTATATCTATATTAGCATTCTTTATCATTTATAATACCTAGATATGTTTTAAAATGAAATTTAAAACATTTTTGGTTGTGATCACAGTAGGCTACTTTCAAAAAAATTTCGATTTTATATCTGTATTACCATTGTTATCATTTATAATACGTAGATATGTTTTAAAATGCAATTTAAAGCATTTTTGGTTTTGATCATAGTAGGCTACTTTCAAAAAAATGCCGATTTTATATCTATATTAGCATTTGTTATCATTTATAATACCTAGATATGTTTTAAAATGCAATTTAAAGCATTTTTGGTTTTGATCATAGTAGGCTACTTTCAAAAAAATGCCGATTTTATATCTATATTAGCATTCTTTATCATTTATAATACCTAGATATGTTTTAAAATGAAATTTAAAACATTTTTGGTTGTGATCACAGTAGGCTACTTTCAAAAAAATTTCGATTTTATATCTGTATTACCATTGTTATCATTTATAATACGTAGATATGTTTTAAAATGCAATTTAAAGCATTTTTGGTTTTGATCATAGTAGGCTACTTTCAAAAAAATGCCGATTTTATATCTATATTAGCATTTGTTATCATTTATAATACCTAGATATGTTTTAAAATGCAATTTTAAGCTTTTTTGGTTTTGATCATAGTAGGCTACTTTCAAAAAAATGCCGATTTTATATCTATATTAGCATTTGTTATCATTTATAATACCTAGACATGTTTTAAAATGCAATTTAAAGCATTTTTGGTTTTGATCATAGTAGGCTACTTTCAAAAAAATTTCGATTTTATATCTATATTAGCATTCTTTATCATTTATAATACCTAGATATGTTTTAAAATGAAATTTAAAACATTTTTGGTTGTGATCACAGAAGGCTACTTTCAAAAAAATTTCGATTTTATATCTATATTACCATTGTTATCATTTATAATACGTAGATATGTTTTAAAATGCAATTTAAAGCATTTTTGGTTTTGATCATAGTAGACTACTTTCAAAAAAATTTCGATTTTATATCTATATTAGCATTTGTTATCATTTATAATACCCAGATATGTTTTAAAATGCAATTTTAAGCATTTTTGGTTTTGATCATAGTAGGCTACTTTCAAAAAAATGCCGATTTTATATCTATATTAGCATTTGTTATCATTTATAATACCTAGATATGTTTTAAAATGCAATTTAAAGCATTTTTGGTTTTTATCATAGTAGGCTACTTTCAAAAAAATGCCGATTTTATATCTATATTAGCATTTGTTATCATTTATAATACCTATATATGTTTTAAAATGCAATTTAAAGCATTTTTGGTTTTGATCATAGTAGGCTACTTTCAAAAAAATTTCGATTTAATATCTATATTAGCATTCTTTATCATTTATAATACCTAGATATGTTTTAAAATGCAATTTAAAGCATTTTTGGTTTTGATCATAGTAGGCTACTTTCAGAAAAATTTCGTTTTTATATCTATATTAGCATTCTTTATCATTTATAATACCTAGATATGTTTTAAAATACAATTTTAAGCATTTTTGGTTTTGATCATAGTAGGCTACTTTCAAAAAAATATCGATTTTATATCTGTATTACCATTTGATATCATTTATAATACCTAGATATGTTTTAAAATGCAATTTAAAGCATTTTTGGTTTTGATCATAGTAGGCTACTTTCAAAAAAATTTCGATTTTATATCTGTATTACCATTGTTATCATTTATAATACGTAGATATGTTTTAAAATGCAATTTAAAGCATTTTTGGTTTTGATCATAGTAGACTACTTTCAAAAAAATTTCGATTTTATATCTGTATTACCATTTGTTATCATTTCTAATACTTAAATATGTTTTAAAATGCAATTTTAAGCATTTTTGGTTTTGATCATAGTAGGCTACTTTCAAAAAAATGCCGATTTTATATCTATATTAGCATTTGTTATCATTTATAATACCTAGATATGTTTTAAAATGCAATTTAAAGCATTTTTGGTTTTGATCATAGTAGGCTACTTTCAAAAAAATTTCGATTTTATATCTATATTAGCATTCTTTATCATTTATAATACCTAGATATGTTTTAAAATGAAATTTAAAACATTTTTGGTTGTGATCACAGTAGGCTACTTTCAAAAAAATTTCGATTTTATATCTGTATTACCATTGTTATCATTTATAATACGTAGATATGTTTTAAAATGCAATTTTAAGCATTTTTGGTTTTGATCATAGTAGGCTACTTTCAAAAAAATGCCGATTTTATATCTATATTAGCATTTGTTATCATTTATAATACCTAGATATGTTTTAAAATGCAATTTTAAGCATTTTTGGTTTTGATCATAGTAGGCTACTTTCAAAAAAATGCCGATTTTATATCTATATTAGCATTTGTTATCATTTACAATACCTAGATATGTTTTAAAATGCAATTTAAAGCATTTTTGGTTTTGATCATAGTAGGCTCCTTTCAAAAAAATTTCGATTTTATATCTATATTAGCATTCTTTATCATTTATAATACGTAGATATGTTTTAAAATGCAATTTAAAGCATTTTTGGTTTTGATCATAGTAGGCTACTTTCAAAAAAATGCCGATTTTATATCTATATTAGCATTTGTTATCATTTATAATACCTAGATATGTTTTAAAATGAAATTTAAAACATTTTTGGTTGTGATCACAGTAGGCTACTTTCAAAAAAATTTCGATTTTATATCTGTATTAGCATTTGTTATCATTTATAATACCTAGATATGTTTTAGAATGCAATTTTAAGCATTTTTGGTTTTGATCATAGTAGGCTACTTTCAAAAAAATGCCGATTTTATATCTATATTAGCATTTGTTATCATTTATAATACCTAGATATGTTTTAAAATGCAATTTTAAGCATTTTTGGTTTTGATCATAGTAGGCTACTTTCAAAAAAATTTCGATTTTATATCTATATTAGCATTCTTTATCATTTATAATACGTAGATATGTTTTAAAATGCAATTTAAAGCATTTTTGGTTTTGATCATAGTAGACTACTTTCAAAAAAATTTCGATTTTATATCTATTTTAGCATTTGTTATCATTTATAATACCTAGATATGGTTTAGAATGCAATTTTAAGTATTTTTGGTTTTGATCATAGTAGGCTATTCTCAAAACAATATCGATTTTATATCTAAATTGGTAATAAAATTATAGTGTCCCTTTAATATCATTTCCACTTTTAATTATTTTTTCAAAATAATTTCAATACAATCTATAAGTGTGGTAATAACATTTTGAGCAAATCAAGGAAAATTAATAAAGTCAAACCCTTAAATCCGGTTTAAAATTGATCAAGATTAACATAAATATTTCTTGAAACCACTCAAAGACAAATAAAATGACAAACTTTTTATCGTCGATTAGTTTTCTTTCCATTATCTTTAATTTAAGATGTTACACGGAATAAATGAATTTGAAAATTAAGAGATATAACTGATTTAATTTTTAATCCATTATTTATATTTTTTATCCACCAGATTAAACACTATTTTCACTATATCTCGAGAACTAAGAAAATTTCACGCAATGCATCTAAATTTCCGCCATACTAGACCTTCGTAGCTATCTTTTGATATACATATTAATACGATTGATTTTGAGTTGCGAGCTGTAGGTTCGGTGACAAATTTTAAACCATTTTTGATTTCGTATAGGGAGGATTAAAATAAATCCATCAGATTAAAATTTGAAATCGTTATATCTACGTAGGTTTTGATGGAAGTGGGACATGTTAAGTATCGTTGGATAGGTCTTTTAAAGCCCTACATTACAAAAAATGTTTAATCGAATACTTCTCTAAAACAAGTGCACCAGAACAATTTTAACTTAAGCCTCCAAAAAAGCTAGTTTTTTCGCTCTACTGGATCAGGACTAGCACCAAATATTATGAATTTGGTATCAATCGGTTCTTTAGAAGATGTAGAACATTTAAACTGCCAGCTATTTTTTGATTTAAGGCTTTAAAAAAATTTTAGAGCAAATATACTATTTGTATGGAGATTTCGAGAAAAACTTCCATTAATCACTACGGTCTCAAAATAAAAGTTCATGCAAAGCGCCATAAATTCCGCCCTACCAGACGACAAGGGCTAAATTTTGAATAAATCATTACTTTTAAAATAAAACGGTGGACCTGAAGGTTGGGTGACAAAATTTGACCGACATAAAGAAACACCTTCCATGTTCCACGCGGAAGCTAAAACAAAAGTTTGTCTTTTAACATTTTCCTTTAATTCAAAAGAAATTTCCTTCAACGGTTTTCATATTCACACAAAATTTTCAATTTTTGTGAATATATTTGATATTCAAATTGTTTGAGGGTCGAAATAAAATTGAATTTTTGAACGCACCCTGAACAATTTTTACAACGATAAAAAATTTCAAATTTCTGAACGCACTTGAAATTTCGAAAATCACGTGTTTTTCAAATGAAATGAAAAAACCCAACAGAACGAACAAAGTGAATTATTAAACTCCCTTTTAGAAACAAGTTTCAAAAATGCGATAAATACGATTGACTGATTGATTCATTTTTCAATTAAGCATTTCCAACGGATATTTTGATTTTAAATTCTGGTATCAGTTTGAATTTGAAATAACCGTTTGAAGATTTGAAGACTTTTTCGACAAATTGTAAGAATTGATATCTCAAGTTTCATTCCTGAAATTGAGGGATATTGGTTAAGCAGTTTAATTCAATGTTATGTCTCTTTCAAAATTTCTTTCTATTTTATTTGGCAAAATTCCTTATCAAAAAATATCATCATAAATGTGTGGCTATAAAAATTAATAATTCAACTTAGTTTCAACTAGATATAAAAAAAAACTTCACTCAAAATCTTAATATTCATCTTCATGTAATTCACCAACAATGCGATTAGATGCTGCTGTTGTTTTAAATCCCAAAATATTTGCATCCGCAACTTTCATTCCCTTTCTAGTCTTCTTATCTAATTTCTTCTTATATTGAGTTCTAAATGGCTCTTCATTATGCGTTCCTGGATTTATTGCTTTCGGTGGTGCACAAAGATCATCATCAACTTCCACTTTCTTTGTTGCTTTACGATACAAGCTACGACGTTCCAAAAACTTTCGTGTAAACAAATGACATTCAATTGTGTCGCCCAAATACATCTTGACATAATCTTCAATCTCAAATGGACTTTCCAAATCGATTAAGAAGCTCACGAAGACAGGAACTAGAATGCAGAAGAAAGAGGAGAAAAATGATTGAGAAAATCGCGTAAATAATTTTCTTACTGTCAATTGATGTAACCATCTTGCTAAGCATGTCCAAACACCAATTCTTAAACTCATGTTCAACATCCTGCTGTGTGCTGCTGCTGCTGCTTTCTAATGGCTTAGGCTTAACTTCAGCTGTCAATGACTGACGAGTATTATTTATTGAGCTAGTCGATGGAGCATCCTTTGTATTCTCTTCAGGTTTTTCAGTTACTACAATATTCCATGACAATTGAGCGACTCTCTGCTTTAATTCTTGTTCCTTTTTAGCTTTTTCTAATTCCTTTTCACGCTTAATTTGCATTTCAATTTGACGAATTTCTTCTTCCTCAATTTGGATCCGCTTTAAATTCTCACTTTCTTTCTTATTGACTAAAACTTTATCAATCCATGGAGCTGGCATGGTAGGCAACTTTGATTTCTCTTCGACTTTATTTAATTGATTAATTATTATTTGACTGATGTCATTATTACTCTTGACTTCCTTAACATCTGTATTTAGTACCCTTAAATCATTCTTAATGACCGTTATTTTCCCTTCTGGAAGCCTTGTAGCTGATCGAGATGATTGCGGACCATTTTCCTTAGCTTTATCGCACTTTTCTTTTTGAAACTTTTTTCTTCTCAAGCTTCCAACGACTCGGAATTCGCCTTCATCGCCAATATCGTAAGATTTAGGCTCTTGTGTAGGCTCAATGACTTGATTATGCTGGAAATTGTTATTATTATTATGTTGAACATTATTGTTGATGTGCTGAATATTATTTTGTTGCACGGCTTGATTATTGCTGTTTACAGCTGCATTGGTGCCATTTAAAGATGTATTAGCGCCATTTTGCTCATACTTGTTCTGCATATTGTTGTAATAAGCTTGCTGGATCTTATTTTGACGACTATTTTCAATTTTATTCTGTTGCTGCTGCATAATCTGTTCGTTCATTGACTGAACTGCCACATTTTGACTATGCTGCATAAATATAGCACGTTGCTGTTCCATTTCCTTTTGCTTTTGTAGTTCAAAAAGCAGCTTTTGTATGGGATTTGTTGGTAGAATTGACGGCATTTGATGGATCATTGATTGTGAATATTGATTTGCAATTGGACCTTGATATGGAGTCTTCATCTGGTGTTGAATTTGATTCATCATTTGCGGTGGAATTTGTTGTGGGATTCTGTTTGGATTATTATTTAAAGCATTAAAAGCAGCAGCCTGAATGTAAGGATTTCCATTATTAATGGTCATTAGTCGTGGATCAACTTGTGGGATATTTGGTTGTGGAGGTCGATTTTGAAGATATTGAAAATTTGGCGGGATATTTTGTTGGAACTGCTGGATATTGTTTTGATATTGTCCTTGATCTTGAAATTGTTGCATTAAATTTTGTCCTCTAAACATTGCAGCATCAAATTGATTTTGTGGATTCATAATTTGTGGCATTTTTTGAGGCTGCTTATAAGGCAAATTGTCAACATGATCAACTTTTGGAATTGGAAATCCCGTTGATGCTATAACAAATGGCTGTGCAGACCCAAAAGCTTGAATTAAATGATGAAGTGAGATGAAATTGTTATCGATAGATCTACGAAGCATAAGTGTGTCGTAGAAGAATCCATGATTATACCACAATGACATTTCGTCTGCGTTAAAAGGACCTTGGATCTTTCCAATTGGATCAACATAAAACCAAGATATTAAATTGTTATTTTGTTGCTTATTATTGTCATTGGATTTCTCAATTATTTCTTCATCATCTACAGTTAGTTCCTGTAAACCCATTAGAATGTCATTTTCAAGCTTCTTAAAGTTCAATTCGCAGGGATTGGTACTGCTTGAACTTGACTGGATGTTGGGTTTTTCAATTTTCTTTATTTCATTACTTTTCATGCTATTTTCAAATAGATTCTTTGTAGTTGTGTCGGAAACGATATTCAAGACATACTGGTTCTGTTTCTCCTCAACAGTTTCAGCTCGTTTTGGTGTAATTTGTGGTTTATTTGGTATCGTTTTTGTTGGTGAAATTTCATCCTTTTCTTGTGGCTTAAATTCATAGTCTTTGGCTGGAGAATAAGGATAATGTGATGCCTGTTCATCATTATGTCCCTTATCACGCCAATTTGGCTTTGATCTCTCACCTTATGAATGTTTTTAAAAATTATTTTTGTAAATTAGGTTAAAATGTAATTAAATTAAATTACCGTTTCTACTGGATGTTGGATTGTAGTGTGCTTCTTTCTTATGATCTTGATTCCTCCAATTCTCTTGTTCCGGTTCCTTAGCACCTTTACGCCAATTACTACTATTATTATTAGAAGATCCATGTTTAATATTAGAATTAAGGAAAGTTCTGCTATGTCCACTGCTTACTGGTTTCTCGTCATCACTTGATGTTAACACCATTGGTGAACTATAGTGATTAGTATGTAAACGTCTTGATCCATTAACAATAAATTCAGGTAATTTCCTAGAATTTCGTTCATCAAGCAATCCCAACATCTCTTCTCTGCTATATCGATTTTCAGACATGATTGGACGGCAAATTATCTCTTCCTGCTTTGGAGGTGATGTGCTTAAGCTATTACGAAGCCATTCTGGACCAAATTTGATTGATTCTGACATTATTTCAATGTTTAATTAACTCTTTGAATATTTTTAATGTGATTGTGCTACCAACTCGTGATGATCTTTGTACTAAAACCTTTTAACTGCCAAAATGATTTTGAATGAAGTCTCCTGATAATTTATTTTTTATTTGAAAATTAAGAAACCGCTACAAATTACAACATAAACAATTAGATAAAGCAAACGGAAAGGATTAATTCAGGTTCTAATGAGTAAGTAAACTGTAATAAAGAGTTTCATTTAATTCCAAGTCATATAAAAACGATATTAATATCGCAATGTTTTCAACTGTCAAATAAATTCAAATACTTTAGTACAATTTTAGTACAAGTTTTATTTGAAAACAAAAAAAAAGAATTTTCCTCAAACAAAAAAGTTTTACTTCTTCAATTGATTAAATCGCGTACAGACAGCTTGTAATAGTTCTAGTAAATTAGACATAAAGCTTAAACATGCTGCAAAAGAAGCATATAGTAATTGTGATGTTAGTTTTCTATTTATATAGTGTAAATTGTGAAAATGAAAAACTTTGTAAGTTTACGGCTATTAAATTGCGTATCAGTGTTATTGATTACTCATATTAAACTATATTTTCTCACCTAATACAGTCATTGAATGTGATCCAACTAAAGAAAGTGGCGAAAAGGCAAGCTCTGATTGTCCAAAAAACGCAAAATGCGTCGAACTTGGAACTAATAAAGACAATATTTCAACTAAAGGCCTTTGTGCCTGTATCTTTAATTTTACGGTAAACAAAAACTATTCGTCAATAGATAAGAACTCAAGATATTGTGTAGAAAGTGCTAATCACACAAATAATAGTAAAGAGTCTGTCACATCCACAGCGAAGTCTTTAATACCTACTCTTCAGCCTACAACTGTTCAGACTATAATAGTTCCCTTAAAAACATCCAGTACCACTTTAGCACCTGCTCCTAAACCAGAGCCAACAAAGAAAGTCGAAGCAACGACACCAAAGTCGTCTGTTGAGTCACAAACGAAAGCATCAAGCGATAATAATAATAATAATGATAAGGAACACGATAAAAAACAACAAATAACAGAAGAAATCAAGCCTGTATCGCCTGAAACACATCACATTCTTGGTGGAATAATTATTCCTATAATGATTGTTTTTGCATTCATCGGTGTTGTTTATGGAATTAGAAAATATGATGTGCTTGAACGAGCACAAAATTCCATCAGAAATCGTCGTTCTGGAGGTCAGACACATCAAACTAGATACGATGGATTGGAAAATGACTTCGATGACGATCCTTTGTTGATTTAGAGTGATTTATTAGTTTAGATTCCTTTTGCGTACATGCAAACTTGCCACCACATAATTTTTCTTTGAGTTATTCTATGGTTTATATTCCTACACATCAAGTGCTGCTGATGATTTTTGGTGGGCTGGGTAACACTATGGATTATAAGTGCGATTTTTAAGAACTGAGAATATGACAGTTGGAGACTTATTTGAACTTTGATTATAATTTGAAATGAATTTTAAAAAATTCGAGAAAACCAACCGTTAATTAATGATTTGAATTTTACTTTTGAACTTCAAAGTTCAAAATAATTTTTAACGAACAAAAAATATTCAAAAATAATTTTAACGAACAAAACGAATTTTCAAATTAGAAAATAACGGTGAAAACCTAGTAAAGCACGAAATCAGCAGCACTAAAGCGATTACACACTATAACTAGTGATAATATATAAAACAAAGTTACATTATGTCTACAAAGAAATGAAATAATCCAAAGAACAATTGCCTTGCCAGCAACGAACAATACCAAAATGATTTATGATGAAAAATGATACCAAAAAATGTCATTTACAGTTCTCAAATTGCAATCAACCAATAATGCTTGATAAAATAATATTATTTTTTGTTGAATAAGTGTGAATCAAAATAAGCATAAACTAAGTGTATAAGAGACAAAATTAATGAACAGAATGAACAAAAAATATGTGATGAAACTTTCTTGTCCTTAACAGCTCCTTACTAGTTTTTTTAAAAAAAAAAATATTGTTTTTAACTGTTTTACTTTTCCTTAATCCATTAATTTTAAATGCTTTTGTTAACCTCTTAGAGATTAAAGTAAGAAAAGTATGATTTTAACTGATGCGTGTGTCTCCAATTTATGATTGATTTGATATGGTAATGTCGCGAAATATGAAAAAAGTGTGCTATTTATGTAAATCAATTTTATGATCTTTATAAAACATTTAAATAAATAAAAAAGAAACTTAATTAAATAAAGATTCTATTCAATCAACATTAATTAAATTTCATGGCTTATTTAATTGTTGTTTTGCAATTTTCTGGTTTTGTTGAAATTTATGGCAAATGTCAAACGGACATGAGTTATTGATTTCTTACTTGTTACATGCTTCTATGCTGACCTTTAGTCTAGAAAATTATTTTTCCATTATTAATGCTAATATTTTTCATTTCTGTTGCGGGGGATATTGCATAGCTTGAACCTATCAAAAATATGTACCTATAAAGATTTCAAATTTCAAGTCAGAACCTTACAAATTCAAATTTTAACCGTTAAAGCCATACAAATTATTTCAAGAAATTCAAATTTTAACCGTTAAAACTATAAAAATTCTTTCGAAAATTCAAATTTCAAGCGTTAAAACCATACAAATTCATACAAAATTTCAAATTTTAGCTGTTACTATCGCAGAAAAAGTAAAAGCTCTCAAAAATCCAAAAAAATCATCTCGATTTAAATTTGTGAAATTGCTCATTCCTGCTCAAATTTCTATCCTTAAACAAGTCTTTCAAACCACTCTCGACAAGATATATCATTTTTATAGACAGAAATCTTATTGGAACAAGTGTAAGCAGACAAGTGGGAGCCAACATTATAAAGGAGTAAAAATTATTACAAGGATGACTTAATGTCAACAAGTTTAAAGAGGAGACAAGAAATGATCACATAAATTTAAAGCAACAACATGCCAACATTATTTAATAACAAAAACTTCAATTATCAGAATTAATAGACGCCAGCCTTAATTTAATCAACAAAATCTAGTAAACAAAAATCATAGAAAGACGATAAATAGTTGTGACCGGCAAACTTTACATGCACAACATTCAAAAATGATCAACTTGACATTCAAGTTGCTTTGTTTTTGTTCTAAAGCGTTCTTTAGACTTATTAGAGCAGTCAATATTTGCTCAACCTCAACTTGGAATTTAATCTTTGTTGGGTGCTGTTTGATTATGATGACACGGAATGGAGATTGTTCCGTTTTGAGGGAGAACTTGAATTTCGAGGAAATTTGGGATTTAAAAAAAATTAACGGAAATTGAAGATTTGAAAATTAAGGTTCAATTTTTGATCTAAAAAGATTCAATATAAAATTCAAAATTTGAACCTTAAATATCAAAAGTTCAAACTTTGAACTTATAAGCTCGAGATCTGAATTTTTGAACTTAAAAACTTTGAAGTTCAAATTTTGAAAGCTTAAAAATTGAACTTAAAAGCTCAAAATTTCAATAAACTTAATAGATTTCAAAACTTTCAATTAAGACACACATCATTCCCCCACGAGCCTCGATTTGTTGTGCATGTATACATAGAATGAATCATAGTTGTGTTTAAAAAGAGAGCATTTAAGTTTAATAAGTTAATTTATTATTTTCTGTACCATTCGAGAGTGTTAAAATTATTTCATTAATTAAACCATAAATATGAGATATTAAATTAATGTAATAAGTCAAAAATAATGCAGAATCTCGTGAAAAACTAGCATTAATTTACTTTTTTAATAATTCGGTTCCGCCCTAAATCTAAAATGAATTTAAATCATAAATTATTGCTCTCTTTAGTGCTTCTCCTAAACTATCAACTTAGTGCCTTAGAATTAGGGAAAGGAGTCAATTTGGGTTGTTTTAAGCGAGCTGATCACAACATTAGAGGAAATTTAAAGTACATCGAAAATTGTTTTGATCATTGCGAAAGTCAATTTTACAGGTGAATGCACAAAATGCACTTCCTGTTAATTCAATTTACACTTTTTTGCGTGATTAGTAGTTTTGTTAAAATTAGCTGAAGTACTTCCGTTTTTTTTTTTATTATTTTGTTTCTACTGTTCTGTATTGACAGTTTATTGAGGTTCTTGATGTTCCTTATTGCTATTAGAATTAACAACGTTTGATTCTAGTTCTTAATTTTGGTCATTTCCTTACATCGTTCCTCATTTTTCCGTTAAAGTTCAAAATTTGAATTTTATTTTAACAAAATTTTAACTTCATTCAAATTTTGAACTTCCGTTATAATTCAAATCTCAAACTTTCGTTAAAATTCAAATTCCAAACTTCCGTTAAATTCAAATTTTAAAGTTCTGTTGAAAAAATTTAACGAATTTCAAAACATTTTTAGATATGCTATTCTGGACGACACAATATGTAGTTGTGAGAATATTCTAAAGGAAGCAGAAGAAGACAAGATAAAATGTAATAAAAACTGCACAAATGGAAATGAATTGTTGATCTGTGGTGGAGATGAAGATGTTGAGAGCATTTATGGAACTGGAAGTAACTTACCAGGACCTGTACAGAACCTGATTGTGAATTTTACGACTGACGATAAGATAGTTTTAATTTTTGATTCTCCTGAAAGAAATGGCACTGAATTGACTGAATATGAACTGAGAGCAATAGTTATAGCTACATACTCAACAAATCCATGGTCTATGAGAAATATCACACGAAAATATCCAAAATCATTGAGGAAAATTGAAATGTCTGACTTGATTCCATCAACAGAATTTAATATCACAATAATAGCTAAGAATGGGGAACTAGACGGCGGTTCCAAAAGTGTAATTGGTAAAACAAGATTAAGCAAGCCCGATCCAAAGCCAGACGAACCAAAAATCATAAAATATGAGAATGGAAAGGCACAAGTAGAAATAAAACGAGCAATTAACAATAACGGTCCGGTCTCAAACTACGTGATTGTTGTACATTTTGTTGACAATGAATTAATACATGACTTTGACGAAAGTCTCTTGACAACTTACCAGAAAGCTAGAGACGACGGACTAAGTTATTATATAACAGCCGAAATAGAGCCATTTAAGGAAGACACAAAAGAATTTTTAGTCGGCGACGGGGGGAGATATGGAAAATATTATAATGCACCTCTTCCTGATAACGTCCATTTTCATATTTTAATTGGAGTTGTAAGCCGTCATTTTGATGATTATAAAGTTACTTACTCGAATAGTTCCCACGACGAGACTTTTGAGAATTTACAAATACATTCACACAATGATTCCAGTAGTGGACCCTCGGATTTGATTGTTATTCTACTGACTATAGCTTGTATAATATGTGGACTCATTCTTGTTGGTGCTATTGTCTTTTATGGCTACATCAAGACTAAGATTAATCCAAGAATTCGAAGATTTGAGCGTCACGAAATGTCACTTCAAGGTCCAATACTGGAAGTTGATAATAATGGATATATAGCAGATGTAAGTGGAATAAACTTTAAAGAGAAACTTCAGGAAGTGCTATTAAGTCTCGATGATGATCAAAAAATAATCAGGAAGAGTTTATCACTTGATATTGACAATATTTTAGGAATTGGATCGTTTGGTGACATCATTCGTGGACAACTGAATTCAAACATAATTTGTCAAGTTCATGTAGTCTCTGCTGACGATATGGATCCACCAATACAGACAAAATTCATTCGTGACTTGAACAGTCTTCTTCAATTTGGTTTTCATCGTAATATGTTGAATTTTATGGGCATTTGTCAGACACACGATTGGTTCTTTGTGGTTTTTGAAGACGTTCCAGTTACGTTGAAGCAATTTCTATTGTCTAATAGACAGGAAACGAATTTGTCAAGTCAACGTGTGACCAATTTGAATGAAAATGACATTTTGAAATTAATGTATGAGCTTGCAGAGACACTTGAATATCTGCAGTACAATAAAGTCGTCCACAAGAACCTCAACTCTTATAATGTGAGAATTAAGAGACATAATTCCTCATATACAGTAAAATTGTCTGTTTTTGGACCAACTTTATACACCATGGGAGATGATGGAAGTAAGAATTTGATTGATGAGGAACGATGGCATGCACCGGAAGTTTTAAGATTCCAGAAGTTCTCACATGCCAGTGACATTTACAGTTTTGGATTAATATTATGGGAGATGTGCTGTTTAGGTGCCACAATTTATGGATCTGTGACCACAAATGATTTACTTACGAGAATTAAGAAAGGTTTTCGACCTGATAAGCTTCCATTCATATCTGAGGATTTATATCAGTTGATGCTTAATTGTTGGGAGCTTGATCCGCTTGAAAGATCAGAAATTAATGACGTAGCTGGACATTTGAAGCAAATGCAGTCATTAGCAATGCATTATCTTAATTTTAATTACGATGGACAATTACCATACTTCCTGCCATTATTGGAAATTAAAAATTAATTTTAGAATCTCGAGATAAAAATGATATTTTAGACGTTGGGGTGATTAATGTGCATTTTTGGAGATTTTAAAATTTAACGGGTTTTTGAGATTTGAATCTTATGGGATTACGGAAATTTGAATTTAAGCTGGTTTTGAACTTTGAAAAATCAAATTTTAAGGGTTTTTCGAAAGCACAAATATCTCCAAAATGCACAAATCAAATTACCTTCTTATCGCAACTGGATCTTACATCTTTTCCAAGAATAAACTAGATGAACTAAGTGACTTTATACAGACTGTACTAACACATTCCGTCCAAATAATGTATTAAAATAATTATTATTATAATTATTAATATTTTATAATAAAGAAAGTTTTTTAACATTTTAACCAGCTCATGTCTTCATCGTCACTACAAATTTTCTTTTGCTTCTTTTTAGGCACAATGGGTTCGGGTGGAACTAATGGAAGACAATCAGATCCACACGATTCTTGATTCCTTGATTTTCTATTTTTCTTTCGATCTCCACCACAATTCTCGACTGTAACTGTTGTTTCTATTGTAAACTTTTGCTCGTTAATCTTTGCCTTGACTTTCTTTGATGTTATTGGAATTTCACATGGTTCGACGTCACTACAATCGTCTGCATCACTTTGTGGCTCACATTTAATTGGAGCAGGGAGCTTGACAATGCTAGGTAGATTGGGATTGCTTGATTTTCTAGGCAAATTAGCTTTTTGAACGACTGTAATTTTTCCAACTGGTCTCAGCATCTTTACGTGATCACAAACAGCTTCATATTCTGCTGCCTTTTCAGGTGTTAGACATGCCAGAGTAATTTTACTATTAAAGCACTTTGTAGTCATATCAACTTTGCATGATTTATCTTTTTGAAGATTTCCAAGTTCTGTATTCATTATTGTTTTTGGATCGAAATTCTTTGGACATTGAAGAATCCATATTTCACTATTTGGACTTAGACAATCAATCATACTCGCAGCTGATGAAGATTTCTTGACCTCTGTTTCCTCAAACTGTGGATTATCATGCAAATAGTTCTTCATATTTCTCTCACTTTGTGGATTCGACATTTCAAATTCACAGGCTGAACCTTGGGATAGAAGTTTATCTTTGCTGGTAGAGCTTAGATCTGAAAAATTGCAATTCAATTAGTTCGCTATAATAAATGAATAGCGGTGATAAAATATTTAAAATTTAACGGTTAAATATTATTTGAAATTAAAGCGGTTCAAAAAATGTTCAAAATCCGCTACGTAAAATTACGTAAGCACTTAAAAGCTAGTACGCAGCATAAAGTCACACAGAAACCTTGAACTCCAATACATGTTTCACATTGAGGACATGCACAATCAGAAGGATGAGAACGATCAGCAAAACTTTTCTTATTTATGAAACTTTGAGAAGGTACAGAGGGTTTTGGGCAATTCGAAAGCCTGTTTTTAACCATAGAAGGTCTAACTGGAGGCTGCTTTTTTGCCACAAATTTTGAGCTATTTTTCTTGGGAGCTGGTCTTGCATTTGAAGCTACAGGCACTATGTAAATTAGAGATTCGATTAATTGATGGATCTCAAAAAATAAATTCAAGATCCAAGAAGTCTAGAATGTTTTATAATGAACTTTTGTTCTATGCCTGATTATTGTAACTCACTTAAAGGATCAATATGTTGCATACGATCGCAAGAAAAGCAGCAATTTGACTTTACTGGATCTGTAAGAATTTTTTGCATGAAAATGAGAGAAAACCCAGCAATTGCTTATTTAATTAAGTACGTGAGCTCATGGCTGGTTTATGGCAGCAGGAAGAACACTCAAATGAACAAGAAGCACAGCAATAACTCATTAATCAAAAAAACTTCAGAAAACTTAAAATTTTACACAGCAAATTTAAATGATTCATTCGAATTTCACTACTAGTACTTTGCAAATGTCACTATGATTAACAATATGAACTCAATACTTACCGTAATTAATGATTTTTACCTCCTTAATAATTCCAAATTTGTTTATTTTGATTCAAAGTCACGATGTACTAAAACTAAGGTATAAACCCCGCAAAAATTCAAATTTCAAAAAGTCGTTACCAAAGTTTTATTTGAAATGATTAACGATAACTTATCACAATAATTAAATGACTAGCTGACTTCTAAACGCTTATATTGGCACCTTACAGAATAAAATTTAATCCAAATAAGTTTGTGTATCATCGCTGTATCGTTTCTCTATGCAACGGATGAAAAACCCTTAATTTACTAAATTTGACTCATCTCGAAGTCACTATTTTGTGATGAATTCATAATTAGAGTATCTTTCAACATATTAGATACTTTTCGGTTCATCGATCTAAAAAGAAAAGACAGGAATTAGTGCAAATCAATCAACATTACTAGATCCAGCGAACTTACTTCTTATCAATTTTAAAGTCCTGCTCACTGCATGAAATATTCCCCAATATCTCTGTTTTGTCTGGTGAATCAAATTCCATAAGATTCTTTATTGGTATCACATTGACTTGGCTCGAGTCATTCTCGGATCGGCTGTTTTCGACAGTTTTGCTCTTTTTCTTGAATGTAAATAAATCATAATGTTTGAATTTCTCCTTAATTATCCTCTTTGTTTTATTGGCACTTTCAGCAGATTTACACTTTCTCTTGATTTGCTTCTTTTTCTTATCTGGTGATTTATATTGAGACACTATGTCTTGTTTGCTAGTTAAATTATCCATAATACTAGAAGATAAATAAAATTGCAAAATTGTCCTATCCTAACGCGCCAAAATCTCTTGTTCAACTGAAATGGTAAGAGATGATAGTGTGAAGAGTAGATAGAGCGCATCTTCAATATTAAAATGAGTCTACAAAAAGCTTGAAATGATTGATATATACTCACATAATTTTTGAAACATTTAAAGATTCAACGGTTTGTTATGATTTAAACTTTCTTCCTATTTCAAAATCTAAGAAACCGTTGAAATTTATTATAACTTCTTAATTGAATTGAAGAGTTTATCTCGAATTAAATAGATTATTGGACCTGCAGTGCATTAAAGTAAAAAAAACTGATTAATGTTTAATTAAAAACAGTATAAAGTGGATGTTCTTTTAACTTTCCGTTATAACGAGTCAATTCAAATTTGAACCGGTTCAAAAATATTCAAATGTTTATCGACTGTTATATTTCAAATAATTTCAAAACGTTAATTTTTAAACTGCAAAAAAAACATGAAGTTCAAAAATAACAAAACTGTTAAGTTTTATGTTTTTCAAATGAAATTTTATTTCTTTTAACTTAAAAAAATTCTCCTTTTAGTGTGTGTTCGAAAATCATGTCATTAATACAATCAACCTGTTACTGACATAAGAATGAAGCATTTCAATCATAATTAACATAATTTTTGTTTTTGAGGATTTAAATACATTTGATTTTGTAATGATCATGAAAAAAATTAACTTTAATCTAAGTTCTGTTGTTTGTTGGATGTTAAGAAGAAGAAATAATAAATCAAATAATGAGACAAAACCATTAATTCGCAAAGGAATCACCATAAATCACGAGAATGACATGCATGAAAAAAGGTAATTAAGATCGATAATTTTTAATGTTGATTTCCTAATTCACTCAATAAGCTTCTTGGCTATGAAGAATCGTCTTAAATACAGAACTTGCCATGTTGCAAGGCCGAGAAGGCAACACATTCCAAATATACTGAAGAAAAGTACTCTATTGTTTGTGGACTCATTTGTATCTCTCATTTCTTCCTCGCGTTTCCTCATTAATGCAAAGTCTTGGACTATGGCATCAGATAAATCTTCCAATTTCTTCAGCTCTAATTCTAATGGCTTCAATTTTGCTGCTTCGGCGATCTGGAAGATAATAGGAGATATTAGTTTTCTTTTAAATTTCTCTTGGAACTTAGCTAGTCACTCAATTTCTACATCGAACAATCAAAAATATTTGAAAAATAACGGATCAAAACTATTTGAAGTTCTTGAACCGGTTCAAATTCATTCACTTTTTTTCAAATGTTTTTAATTCGTTATTTTCAAAATAATTTTGACAGTTGACAGTCTTATGATTTGGAGATAAATGCATTAAAAAACTGTTAAATTTCAAACTCAATCAGCACAAAATGTTAATTCAAATCGAAAAAGGCAACAACAAAAAATCAAATTCGAGGGTAATTATAGTTACCATCTACATGATTACAAAGTAATAGAGAAAATAATAGTAAAATTAAATTAATCAGAAAGATCCAACTAGAATTGAAGCTACTTACGCCCTCATATGACTTTGTTTCTACTCCTTTCTTTATGTTAATTGCAACTTCTTGGACGACACCGCGTACGTCTAAAAATAAGAAACATGAAGTGTATTAGAGCTTATTTTGTGGAACTGATCTGTCAACTGGATCTTTTGAAAACTCAATTAAAGACTAAAATCACAAAATGTATGATCCAGAATATAACAAAGTCATCCTTACTGTTGGGAACTTTAGAGATAAAGCACAACTCGTAAACATCAAATATTTCTGATGTAAAACTAAACTTTCCACGCGAGATATCATCTTTCTTAGATAAAATATGTTGTTTTGTGTCACGAACTTCGTAATCGACTATTTGTCCTGGAGCTGCTGTAACTTCATACTCGCTATCGAAAAACATCCAAGATTAGACTCAATATAAAGTACATTAATTCATTAATGCAATAGCTGATAGACTTACCCGACAACGAGCATATTAGCATTGAGCTCATCTCGTAAACATTTCTGTGTATTTGGCTGTAGATTAAATCGAATTGCTCTGACGTTAACAAATAAGCAAAAAAGGCTTAATATCGATATTCCCACATTTATTTTCATGTTATCTAATTAATTATGTATTATTACTATTATAAAACTATAAGAACTAGTGATCGACAGCTGAATTATGCTTATATTTATTATTTTTTTAAATTTATTAGAAAATTTCTCTTCGGCACTTTACGTGTCAGAATGGTTGTTTGGATGTTACGGGACACTCAAGCTGCATTTGTGTTGTTTATGATTTTTTTATGGTTTCTGACTTACTTGAGGTTCTCAACTGTTAATAACGGTATTAAGTGACTTAGCAATAAACTATAATTAATTAAAATCATGTGACATGGACCTTAAATTGAATATTTTTATTACGTCACGAAACTTACAGACGACCCCGAAGTTTTGTTAAAATAAATTAGTACAGAAATATTCAAAAAAACTTTAATCGTTAAACTGTGTACTAAAACTTGTAAACAATAACAAATCAAGAATGAAAACACAAAATTGCTACATTTGCTTAATTAAGGAGAATTTATCAACATTTAAAGTAGCTGAGAAGAAGATCTACCAAGAGTTCACTGGATATGAGATCAAGAAAGCGGATAAAGTGCTAATTTGCCAAGATTGTAGCATAAACTTACTGAATTCAATAAAATTTCTTCGATTGTGCAAGAATTCTTATCAGAACTTACAGGAACAGCTACAAACAATTGAATACAGTGAAATCGTAGACGAAATAACAATCACCGTTGATGAAGGGAATTTCAATAATGAGGAATACATAATTAATGATGGAGCTGTTGTTGATCATACAGTTTTGCAAGTGATTGAGATAGAAGGAGTAGATAATAAGGATGAGAAACTGAATAAGACATTCCAATGTAATAAATGTAATGCCGAGTTTACATCAAATCAGAAACTCAAAAGTCATGAGCGAAAGCATGAAGGAATTAAGGAATGGACATGTAGCTATGATGGATGTGATAAGATATTTGGAAAGGAACTAAGACTTAAAGCTCACATTAGTAAGTATCTTGAATTTATAGCGGCTTAATTCAAATTGAACCGGTTCAAAAAGTTTGAATATTTTTTGACAGTTAATTTTCAAATACTTTTTGACCGTTATTTTTCACACTTTGACTTGCCGTTATTTATCTTTAAGGAACTCACACAAACGAAAAGCCTTACATCTGTGATTTTGAGAATTGCGACATGAAATTCGCACAAAGTAATGCCTTATTATGCCATAAAAGGATACATTCTAAAGAAAAACCATACATTTGCCAAGTTTGTGGCAAAAGCTTTACTCAAAATACGACACTAAAGACTCACGTGGCAGCAAGGCATACAGGAAATCAGGTAGTTTGTGACTATCCAGGATGTGAAAAGAAATTTCCAAGAAACAGCTTCTTAATGCTACACAAGAAACGCGATCATGAGAACATTAGGAACTATGACTGTAAAGAATGTAATAAGCAGTATAAGCAGAAGAGTCATTTAGACAGGCACATAGAAGCTAGCCATAAGAATATCAGACATAACTGTCAATTCTGTGATAAGTCATTCAGTAAAAGCTGGTCCTTAAAGTTACATCAATTTAAACACACAGAAGCTAGCAATTTTCCATATAAATGCACAGAATGTGAAATGAGCTTCCAGAGACGTGACATGTGGATTAAACATATGAATAAAGTCCATCCAGGCATAGAAATTAAGAAGGAAGCAATTGAAATTAACGTTCCATTAAATATTGTAAATAAGGAACTGACTAATGTCACATAAACAAAATGTGTCCCTTTGAAAGATTTGTGGCATGCTGTACCTGTTGAATTATTTATTATGAATGAAATTTTTATCGAGATCCAGTACTGGATTTTTTAAGAATCTAATGTAGGTTCTAGAATATGTCTTAAAGTATAAAACAGTATAAAATTGCATTAATTTAAAGCACCTAAATCAGAAAAGTCTTTTAAAAATGATTTTCAACGTTTTTCGAGAATTTGAAAAAAACAGTACTAAAATCTAGTAAAAAATTCAAATAATAAATTTAACGGTTTTTTCAAGATCCAGTGAATAATTATCCAAAGATCCAGTGTAACTGATTCATAAAATTCAAGCAAGGCGTAGGAAGATCAGCACAGCTTGTGGCAAGGGCACATAAAAGTGCTTTTAATTCTACTCGACATATTCAGTCACTTTTAGTATTTTGCGAGAATTTTTAAAGTTTGCATCAACTTTATACTCAATACTTGAAAAAAATGTCTGAAACCAAATTATTTAGTCTTAAAGAAGTCGCAGCTCATAATTCTAATAAAAGTGCATATCTTGTTATCCACAACAGCGTAAGTTATTAATTATTAGATTTCATTTTTGTTGTGAAAAGTTAAAAAAAAAATCAAAGTTTAAAGTCTGGATGTTTTTTTTACACCGACTGTGCCTATTTTAGTTCTGCTTGCCTAGTTAATTACATTATTAATTTATTCTACTTGATTACAGGTCTATGACGTGACGAATTTTTTAAATGAGGTAAATATTACAATAAATTATATCCAAAATTCCATATTTAATCAGCAATAGTTTTGTTTATTAAGACCTTGAACTTGTTAACGCGAGTGACAAATGTACATAAAAATTGGCAAACTCATTTAAAAATTTATGAGACACAATCTTCTGCTGGATCTTGTTTAAATAAATTAAATTCTCCTTTAAAATCAAGTCTTAGGGTCTAAAGTTCAATGTCATGTACGTAGATACTTTTTTCATCAAAGATAAAATCCGGTCTACGTGAATATTACACACAATATGACTTACGGTAATTCCTTAATGAATGCTTTGTCGAATTAATCCAGTCTTAATTGACAAGTTTTTTATGCAATTCTCGAAAAATCTAGAAATGACAATTCTTATTGGAGTTTATTTCCAAGTGGGCTTATCAGAAATTCAGTTATTTCATGGGACAAGCGTCTTTGAATTCTCATTTTGTCTCCTAAAGTCCTCTAAATGATTTTTAAAATTTAACGTTCATTTGAAATTCGAAAATTAACGACTCTAAAATTCAAAATTTATCGATTTTGTACTAAAATTGAACCGGTTCAATTCAAATTTGAATTTTCTGTTAAAATTCAAAATTTGAATTTCCGCTACTATTCAAAATTGCGAAGTAATCAAATTTAAAATATTGTTTACTTCTAAGCTACTTGTAACGATGTGAAAACAACATTTACAATTAGAATCATCAGATTTCATAGTAATTATTCGATATTAGATGAATCATTACGCTTAAAATGCGATGAATAGATTTTATTTCATCAGTTTCTCTTTCAATTAACACGCGAATCACTTAATTACCCTTCTCAGATATATTCGATTTGTTTATTTCTTTACATCATCTTTTTTGACCGTATATGGATTATTTTCTATACATAACGTGTACATACTGGTCTTATCATAATCGAAAGTTATTTTTTTCAAGCCTCATGCCTTTTTAAGAAACTTATAACTGTATTAAAGTAATGTCTATGTAGTCGCTTGATTAGGCGATAAGATAATGCAATTTTTCATAATGAATGCCTGCCTTCTCTTTATATATTTATTTAAAAGAAATTAATGCACACTTTTTTTGTGTCTATATTTACATACTTAACTGAACATTCAATCAATTGAATATAATTTAAAATTTAAATGAACCTTTTCAGCATCCAGGTGGCGAGGAAGTTCTCCTTGAGCAGTCCGGTAAAGAGGCAACTGAAGCATTCGAAGATGTTGGACATTCAACTGATGCTAGAGAATTAATGAAGAAATATAAAATTGGTGAATTGGTTGAGGCTGATCGTAAGGATATCCCCGTAAAAACACAACCTGACTGGTCGAGCAACGACAAAAAGGATGAAAAGTAAGTGAAAATTATTTGCTGACCTACGCTGAATTTAGTTGAAATTGACAGTGCTGAATTGAAAGAATTCAGCTAAAAGTTCTGAATTGACTGAATTCAAGTGAAAGTGCTTAACTGGTTGAATACAGAAAAAAGTGCTGAATTTTCTAGATTCAGCTAAAAGCGCTGAACTGGCTGAATACAACTAAAAGTGCGAAACTGCTGATTGAAATCAACTAGAAGTGCTGAGTTGTCTGAATTCCTCTATTAAAACTTAATTTCACTAAACAAACCAGTTCTCCCCAAACAAATTCCCAGTCAGCTCAATTCCTTCAAGTGTGAATTATTTATTTCACCGTTGAATGACAAGACACATCCATCTGTTAAATATTTAATGTATTTATTGACTATTTATTTAATGCGTTTTCTTCTTATTTTCTCTTTTCTCATTTTAGTTCAATGAAGAATTGGATTGTTCCAATTCTTTTGGGTCTTTTGGCAACGATCTTATATCATTTCTACTTCAAACAATAAGTTGATACTATTCTTATGGCATTCCCCAGTGCATCTTTAAAGTCTAAAAAACATTATTTGAACTTTTCCAAGCATTTTTGATGCAATTTATGAGACAAAAAAGAAATATTTTCGATGATAAAAAAACAAACAAATGAGTATATAAGTTAGTGTTCTGCCTATTATTAATATTATTATTTTCTTGATTTTTTAAAGAGTTTAAATTGCTATTAATGATTTTTTATACGGAAATGGACATATTCGGGTGTTAGGCGCAGTAAATCTATGAAAATGAAGAAAAAATACAAAAATATATACATTTAATTAATCACAAACTACTGCCTTATTAATTACAGACTTTAAATTTAACAACTGAAAAAAATTCAAAAATTAACGGTAATATTTTTTTTGAATTTAAACAGAATTCGAAAATATTTTGACTGTTAAATTTTGAAAATATTTCAACCGTTAATTTTTGAATTAAAAAAGTGTTGCCAATAATTATTAAAGACTTACAATTGCAGTGTTAATTATATTTTAAGAGTTCCAGATTGAATGTCGACAATTTGAAGATGAAGAAGCACCTTAACAAGCATTCTTGAAGAGATGAAATCTCTCGACAAGGATAGTGTCTATCAAGCTTGTTAATCATCTTACAATAGTCCTTTAAGCGTCGTTGAGCCGTTTTCATGTTCAAATCTTGTAATTCCTTTACGTCATTGCCGATGAAATTATCAAAAACTTTTGTAGCATATTTTAATTGCGGGAAGAGCTTATAATCGTGAACACATGCATCACATGTGCATTTAAACATGTATTGATTATTTAAAGAGGTTTGTCGTTGACGAAAACTTTCTAAACAGTGATGATATCCATAGTTGTCAAATAGCTGCTCACCTTTCTCAATCGGACGATTTACCATAATATAATTTTTATATTTATATGAGACTCGAACTAGATTTGGTGCGCATGAATGATTAATAAGCGAACAGAATGGATAACTTGCTGATCCACTTTGGACATTATCATTTAATTGTGACTTTGTTAATATTCCATCAAATATGCCGTGGTAATTAAGAGCAGCTATTTGTGTCTGCTTCATAATGAATTTACGATAAAAGTTTTTATCACTTTCGGACATTAATAAATTCATTAATTCTGTTTGACTAAATAGTAAGTTAGTCATTATAGCCACGATTCCAGCACGTTGAAATAAATCACTAGGGCCTCGATACTGTTCATTCGTTACAAGTGAGTCAATGGCTATAAACATTTTCTTCTTTACATCTTCATCACTTTCACCTTCAAAATCAAAATCATAGACCGTAACTGATGCATTTGCATTCTCATTCATTGCACTTATTAATTGCTGTATATCGGAATTGTATACATGAAGTGCTTCAAAGAATGTATGACTAGAGATTCTCATAATTTTCGTATAAATTGCATTTAATGCATCAATAATATTGCATTCGTATTTATGGAACTTGTTGGTTCCGATTTCGCGGCATTGTTCAGAACAAAACATGACAGCTGAACATGATTTGCAAGGTATGAGATCCAAGAAATTGTCAGTTAAGCAGTTTACACAATATCTGTAGCTACTTGATGGAAGGACGCATTTGCTGAATGGTTCTTCAATAGCAATAATATCACCAGCTGATAATCTCTTGTTTGTGACTACATATCGTCCAAATTGATCGTCAGACTTCAATTCTAAGCATTTAGCTATGAATGGAAGTTTTGGATTTGGTTCGTGACTTAATTTTAAGTTTTCTTCACCAATTGCTTTGTATGCGAACTTCTCTTGATCATTGTTTTTATTACTTTCACAGAGTTCTTTTCGTTTCATTAATTTATCGAGATTCTTTTGTGGATAATTGTTGCTGATTGCCATTTCTATGTTCTTTAGTGCTCGATTGTAGTGTTTCAACTCGCAGTAAATTGCTGAGCGATCTAAAAGGAAGGAATTTTAAATTTCGAAAGATCATTCAAAGATCCAATTGTTTTGTTCAAGATTATGCAGTATAAAAATCCAATAAGATTAATGATCAACAAGTTATACTTACTAGCAAAAGCTAGTCCAATGTTCTCTCCATTAGCCTCTGCAAAGCACAGAGATTTATTGTAATATTCCAAAGCTTCAATATATTGTCGGTTACTATAGAACTTATTTCCTATATCTCTAAAATCTTTGGATATTGCATTGTCTTTCGGTTTTTTAAAGTCTTCAGCTTTTGGGATCAAATTATTTTCCAATAAAAGTCTTTCTAGGAACTTGACTCGTTCTGAGTTATCCTTAATGTTATTAAATTCTTTTGATAGTTTCACTATATTGCCACTGGCAACTAGCTTTTCTCTTAACAGATCTGTGTAGTCATATGCGTCTGTTATGGTCATTTTATTTAAATTTTTCTTTCTTGTCAAAAATTATAGGACTTTTCTTACAGGTTCTTTTAGTACAGATGATCGAGTTCTTATTGGATTGTTTAGTACAGAAGATCACGGTTTGAATTTTGGAGGGAACTTGAATAGAAGTTGCAGGAAATTTTGATTATTTTGTGATTTTAAACTTGGGTTTTAGTTGAATTTGTTCTATTTTAAAGCTTAGGCATCGTTGTAGTCCATCTGATTGATATAACATTGAAAATCTTATCTTTACTTCCTTGTTCTCCTTCACACTCTTTCATCTCCATAGTCCTCATAATCACACAACATAGTACAGCAATAGATAAATACGAGCATTAAAAGAATGATAATAATTGAAATTAGAAGAAATAAACTATTGAAAACATTCCAATCATCTTGCTCTATTTCAGGATTATAGTCATAAACTGATCGAACTTGTGTGAATTCAATTTGATCACGTTTGATTATTTTATTTGGTGGATTGAGAAACATTTCATTTTCAAAGTCGTCTGCTGCTTTAAATTTTATCAAACTTAACAGCATTGCAATTAAAATGATAAGGAATTTTAAGCTGTAATTCAAATTAATTTTTTATATCTTATAAGATTTAAGTTTTTTCGTTTGACTTACCAGAAGATTTTCATATTAACTACAATTTTTAAATCACATGTTATCACCACAAACTTTAGTTCTGGTATGAAAAAGGAAAAGTAAGATTGCAGATTTATATAGCAGGAAAGTCAGAAGAGTCAGGAATAGTTTCTGAGGAATGCTCTTAATTGATTAAGTTGATATTCAATTTAAATGTCATTCTTTTTGACCAATATTGCCTTAAATTGGTTTAAAAATGTAGAAAATTTATATTGAGTAGATTGTAAAGCTTTATAAGATTATATAAATGATCAGATTGGTTAAAGTATCTCGAGAATGTTCAGAACCATTCGAAAGAAATTTTATCCACAAAAGAAAACTTAAGTTCAAAAAGAAACAGTCTTAAAAACTATAAAATCTAGAAAACAGCTTTAAAATCACTTAAAAGCTTTATTTTCAACATTTTTATTAAATTTTCTTCATTTAAATTATTTAAATCAACAATTCTATCATACTTAACTCATGGAATCAGAATTTCTGGCTTCAACATAATCTCCATGCATGCCTGAAAGCTTTCAGCTAGACTACAAATTTCTACAGACGGAAAATTATCAAAATTCTTCTGAATTATTCCTGAAATTTCTTTAATTCTTTGTTTAGCTTGCTTTTGAGTCATGTTTGCCAGTTCCTGACAAGACTTCTTAGCATGTCTAAAAGCGATTTTATCCACAACTTTCAATGAAGGAAGCAAACCGAAATTCTCAGAACATGCTTCACAATTGCATGTAAATCGATAATGTTTCTGTAATTCCATTTGACGTATTTCTCTTGGGATGTTTGTGAAGCTATATCCATAGTTGTCAAATATTTGAGACCCAGCTTTGATAGGTCTTTGTACAATCATGATAATTTTGTCATCAATAAAGACTTTAGCCACATTTGGTGCGCACGAATGATTTACTAAGGAACAGAAGAGATAACTTCCATTCGCAAAAGAACTGACACCACGACGATAAGCTAGAGTTCCTTTAAAATTCTCCATTTCTGGGTCATACAAGCCTCCTTTCTTTAATGGCCATCCATAAATTTCATGATAATTCAGAGATCCAATTTGTGTGTGTTTTTTCAAAAATGTAATAATTTCGTCTCTGTGGCTGATCCACATTTCCTTCAACTTATCATTCAATTGAAAAAGTTCATCAAAAAGTATCACATTCACATCTATTGACTCATCAAAAATCAGAGAATTAATAGCAAGAATTTTTTGCTTAAAATTCAGTTCCGCTTTGCAATCGAGTATCGAATTTAAATTATTTTCAGTCAAAAAAGTCATCAATTTTTCAAGCGAGTCATCGAATATTGCTAATGCACAGAAGAACGTTCTTAATGCCATTCTCATGTTTGCATTCAAAAATGATGTTGTGATTATAGCTGACACGGGACATTCGAAGCGATGATAGCTGTTGTATGCATTTTGCAAGCAGATGTTGGAACAAAACATTACTGGAAATTAAGAAGAAAGGATTTTTTGATTTTATGGGTACTTCAAGGGTGCGGAACTGATCAAAATGATCAAAAATGAACAAAAAGATAAAAATTCATCAAAATCTAATTTATCAGTTCCGCAACCTTATGGCACTTTGTGGATTAAGTGAAACTATATTAACAAATATATTGCTGCCAACATTGCGCTATTCCAAGAATCTACAGAACCGTTCAAAACTGTTTCCATATTTGGAGAAAAATGTTCTTTTCAACATATTTATAATAAACTATTACATTTTCCCAATTTGTTATATATCGTTTTAAAGCTTGTTTAATAAGCTTTTTAAAAATGATAAGCAACTTTGGAAAATATTTAATTAAAGTAGATTTTTTGCTTAAAATATACACTGTCACATGGAAACACTTTTGAGCTAATAATTGTTTTTCCAAAATTTGAAGAAAAGCAGAACTAATTGGTTAAAGTTTGTTTATTATAGTAAAAAGCGATTAAAATATAAGATAAAAGCACATAAATTAAGTTGCTAGACATCGTTAAAATATTTAAATTAGAATGTCAAATCACATGATAAATTTTCATATAATTTTGCAAAAAATTACTAAATTAAAGCCAAATGTTGTGATGTTTGCATCTAAACAAATGTATTTTAGCTTATTAAAGCTGAAAAATAGTTTTTAATTGTAAATAAAAGCATTAAGAAGCAAAAAATTGATAAAAATTCATGGAAACACTTAAATTTCTTTCCTTGCAAACACAAACATTCAAAAACTTTTATTACTTCCTCCACTTCAAATAACTTTAATCGCTTTCTATGATAGATTTTATGTTAATAAAGATAACCATATATGATTTATGTAGTCATTGTAAGAGTAAAAGGATGTTTTTTGCAATTTTGTTGGTCAATGTCAGCCATATTCAAAAAAATTTATAAGCATTTATAAAAAATTCAATTTTTTACGTAAATATCATTTTGGATTGTCAAAAGTCGAGCAAACATCACAACATTTGGCTTTAATTTAGTAATTTTTTGGAAAATTATATGAAAATTTATCATGTGATTTGACATTCTTATTTAAATATTTTAACGATGTCTAGCAACTTAATTTATGTGCTATTATCTTATATTTTAATCGCTTTTTACTATAATAAACAAACTTTAACCAATTAGTTCTGCTTTTCTTCAAATTTTGGAAAAACAATTATTAGCTCAAAAGTGTTTCCATGTGACAGTGTATATTTTAAGCAAAAAATCTCCTTTAATTAAATATTTTCCAAAGTTGCTTATGATTTTTAAAAAGCTTATTAAACAAGCTTTAAAACGATATATAACAAATTGGAAAAATGTAATAGTTTATTATAAATATGTTGAAAAGAAATTTTTTCTCCAAACGTGGAAACAGTTTTGAACGGTACTGTAGCTTACTTAACTTATTTTTTAAAATAATTCTTACCTTGACAACATAATGAACATGGCATCAAATCCAAAAGATTAGACTTAAGGCAGTGCGAGCATCTCTGGTAAAGGAACTCTTCCTGAAGAACTGTACAAACTGGTTCTTCAATAGCAATCACATCACCAACAGCAAGTGCTTTATTTGTGATAATGTGTCGACCATACTTTTTATCAGACTTTAATTTAAGGCAGTTTGCAATTGATGGATAATCCTTATTAGGTTCGTATGATAGTTTGAAGAAACTCAAGTCAGTTGCAGTCTTTAGGGAATTTTTCATCAGTTCCTGACATTTTGATTCACGCTTTTTAAGGATCTCGTAATTTTTTTCAGGATAGTTGTTAGCTCTAGCAAGCTCAATATTCCTCAATGACTTCTCATAAAGTTTCATCTCAAAATACACAGCAGATCGATTTGCATAAGCAAGTCCCATATTATCACTTCCATTTTCAGCATAGCACAAACTCTCATTGTATTTTAAAATTGCATCAAAAAAGTTCTTGTCAGCATAAAACTTATTCCCAATTTCTCTTAATTTGGTCGATTTCGCACTCGATTTAAGGCAATGTTCCATGTTTATTTATAAATTCGACTTATTTTTGTATTCTTTATTGCGCAACTTTATTCGCAAGTACTTTCTTATGGGCAGTCGCACTTATTTGCTTAATTTTTTTTTAAATTAGTTTAAACAATTTTTTAAATTAAACATAAGAAATTTTGTGTGCTTTAAAAGTTTTCAAATAAAATTAAATTTTATTGACTTTGCAGAAAAAAAAAAGTTCCAAACTGCTACTGATCACTTCTTCCCATACAATGTTGATTCTATAGAGTTTAAAAATAGCAAGCATACGATTTGCTTTACCGACGATTCAATTTAAATGATTTATCGACTTTTAATCAACGTTTGGGATGCGATGGATTCTAAATGATTTTTATTAAATTACTTCTAACGCGAATTTGTGTATGAAATAACATCAAAATATTTTGGTTCCTACCTCTTCACCGCTTTTCCTTCTTCTTTCCTTCCACGACTCGTGTTATTTCGATTAAACTGTTTTCGGTACGTTTTTTCACATGACTGTGTTGTACTGTCTATGTTCTGTCTGCTTTTCTCGTTCGTATCTTCAACTTGATGTTGACGAAATTGAAATTCAATCTAGTATCAAGGCTGGGACAATTAAAAATTAATATTCATACTTGTATACTAAGGTTGTTCATGGACCATGCGCATTATCGTGTAGTCGAAATTTTTGAATTTTTCAAAAACGTTTAAATTATTGATAAGAAATTTTTATGCATTTTTTTCCTGCAATGCTCAATCGATGCTCAATCTTGGCTAAGGAGAATAAATATTTTTTTTATTGACCATGGCTTCAATATTATAAATGATGATGGAGTTGATTTGAAACGAAATTGTTCGTGCATGTTGAAATCAGAGTTGCGAGACAGGTCGCTTGTCAACAGCAACATGTGACAGACACTGCCTGTCGATAGGCAAAGACAGGCGACAAGGTAATTAACTGTCACAGCGCTGTCATACTTGCAAACAGATTTGACAGATCTGTGCCTGTTGACATGCAATGATAAGCGGTAGGCAAGTGACAGATCGCAACTCTAGTTGAAATAGAATTTTTGTAAATTTTTGGGGGGAGGAGGGTGGGCAGTGTTGATACAAAGTTGCTTTTGCCTAGATTTTGCCTTTGATCTAGCAAAGTCATGCCTTTTTAAAGGCGCAACAAAGGCAAAGGCACAAAAAATTTTCTTTGACAATGGCAAAGACTTGTGCCTTTGATTTCCAATTGCCAACGATTAGGTCCACCTTTTTAAAGTCAAGTGCTAGGTATCAACACTGAGGGTGGGCAGGGGTTCTAAAAAGCCCTTTTTCCGCTTAATAAGTGACACAGAATTAACTGCGCTGCATCCAAACTCATTTTCATCAATTTTCCTCCGTCCGAATTACAATTTTCATTTTAAAGAGATAATTAAAACAGTGTAGCAAAATTCCCAAAGCATGTATCAAGTTAGATACGCATCAGAGTGCAAAGTGAAGAGAAGACAAGGAAAATTTATCTGCTGAATATTTCACCATTTCATTAGGTAATTAATTTTTTTTCCTATATTTTTTTTTTGCATATAATTAAGACCACATCATCGGTATGTAAAACAAGCTTGTTAAAGACTTGCTTAATGTGAGAAAGAAAAGAAAGAAAAAATAAAATTGAGAATCGCTCAAAGATTTCAGTCGTTAATCTTCTCATCACCTGAAAAGATTGAAAAAAAAAATAACAAACTTTCACTCGTATTGGAAGTAAGCACGTGAAAAAAAATTTGCTCTTCCTGTTTTTAATAAAACTAAAGAAAAGTAAATAAACAAAATATCTACGATCCATTAATCATAAAAGACTCAATTATAAAAAGTTTTGATGCTTTCTGAAAATGAGCTCAGTATTTTTAGTTATGCAAGGAGAGGTTAAAAATAAATTTTGGTGCTAAAAGTTGTGCTATAGCTATTTTTTCATTGATTCATGCTGTACACAATCGTTTTAAAAGATGATGTTCATTTGACAAGCTACTTTAAGATTAGCATTAGGGGTTCTATGGAATAATTTTTGAGCATAAATTTTAAAACTTTAAGATTTTTATGAATTAAGGTTTGATGAACAGCCTTGAACTATTTATAAACAAAAAAGCCAACAAATAGTTTGAGCTGAGTTTGAAATTTGGCAGATTTATTGATGTCCTCAACGAACGATTGATTCATGTAACTCTGCACAGATGCATGACACTGAGTATATCTATGCAAAGTCCCTAGCCACAATTTGCGAGTCTCAAATCGCACAAACCGAGTTACCATGACTAGAACAGCGAAAAAGCACCTAAAATCCTACTAGACATTCCCTGGGATCGAAACAGGGTCGATGGGATTTGAACCATTTTTTTCGAACTTTTTTGTCTAAGAATAGATAAAACTTGGCAATTAATAAGCGATAGATCGTTCACTTATTACGTCAAAAATTAACGGTCATTTTTCAAAAGAGAACAATTTATTTCCAGGTATTTCGTTTATTCTTTTCTTGCTGACCCCTCCCTCCCCTCCCACCTGAGCGTCATAAGTGAACGATTCCTAAGAAGACACGCCAGACATTTCAAAAATTAAATCAAGTTCAAGCTACATCTTTGGTTTGAGTCTTGTTAATAAAAATGTGATAAGTCCAAGAAAACTCCCTAGACTAAGTGCCACAATAGAACTTTCTGTTAAATGAACAAATTTTTTAAGCCACAATTAAAATGTTTAAGCATCAATCATTTCTCCCGATCATAAATTTCCATATGAATCCCCCAAACACGCGCGTATAATCCCATACTAAACGGCAGAAAAGATGAACAAATTTTATGAAGTGCGGGAAAATTATTTAATTTATTATCCATATTTTCTCTTAATTCTGTTTTAGACTCGCCGTGTATAAAATGTAACTAATGAAAATATGGATGACGAACTGAGAAAATCTAACAAGGCATCAGAATCGTGTAGGAATGAAGGAAATCGTTTATACGTGCAGCGAAAATTTTTTGATGCAATTTTAAAATACAATGAGAGTTTGTGCTATGCTGAAAATGGAAGTGATAATATGGGACTTGCTTATGCAAATCGATCTGCTGTATATTTTGAAATGAAACTTTATGAAAAGTCATTGAGGAATATTGAGCTTGCTAGAGCGAACAACTATCCTGAAAAAAATTACGAGATCCTGAAAAAACGTGAATCAAAATGTCAGGAACTGATAAAAAATACTTTAAAGATTGCAACTGACTTGAGTTTCTTTAAGCTATCATACGAACCTAATAAGGATTATCCATCAATTGCAAACTGCCTAGAAAAAAGAATCAATAACAAATACGGTCGACACATTATCACAAATAAATCCTTATCTGTTGGTGATATCATAGCTATTGAGGATCCGGTATATAAAGTAATAAAATCAGATGAACGATACAGCACGTGCTATGCAAATAACGTATATCAAAGATGTGAAAATTGTTTAGAAGAGAACCTATTAGACTTAATTCCGTGCACGTTCTGCACTAAGGCCATGTATTGCTCATCAGAATGCATGAACTACTCGTACTCACATTATCATAAATATGAATGTTCAATTGTTGAGGATTTATTGAGATCTGGCATTAAACACGTCATCCTACGGATATTCTTCGAGGGTCTATCTGCATTTAATCACGACATCAATAAGTTTAAACAATTTGTTAAGGAGAATGAAGGAACAAATTTATCATTTTTTGAAGTAAAAAGTCCGGAAAATAAGAGTGAATTCTTTCTAGCTACTTTATCATTAGCATCAAAGGAAGTGAGAATAGATTCAGCACTTGATTTTGAAGAGCTCTTTAAAAAGTCAAAAACTTTAAAAAGCATGTGGATAAATCATGAAAATTTCATCAAAGACATCCTTCAGAAGCTTTCAATTGTTGGAAATAGAGATATCCATGGAATTGGAGCATGGTCATTGAAGCAAAATGGAATGGAAGAGCATAATGAACCCAAAAATCCATCACAATACCAACAATTGATAGGAAATGCTTGTTATTTATTTTCATCTCTGCTGAATCATTCATGTGCTCCAAATATAAAGCGACTCAATGTCGGATGCAAAAACGTCATCGTTGTATGTCGTCCAATTAGTGCTGGTGATCAACTCTTTGACTCATATCGACAAAATTTCAATCTTCTTCCTAAGAGCACGAGACAGGAGAGTTTAATAAAAGACTATGGCTTTATATGCGACTGTGAAGCATGTATCAATGAATGGCCATTGAATAAAGACTTAGAAGTCATTAATGATAGTGTATTGGAATTTGCATGGGAAGCACATGATGAGCTTCCATATCTACAATCTAAAACGTTTGCTGTAAAGAGGTTTAGAGAATATTGTGATAAGTTTATGAAACATGGCAAGAAGTTCCCATCAGCTGAGCTCGTAATTCTTCAGGAATGTATTTCCAATTGCCTTCTTTCAATCACAAAACCTTCTTTTCAATTTTAGTAATAGGCGAGCAGCATGTGAGAGATGTTGTGGAAAATTAATTTCTTTTTTCTCATGATCGGGTTGATTGGAAGTGATGTCAAGCGTTTTGGAGGGGATAGGAGGAGGCTAATTGGTGTCATCGAATGGAAATAGAATTTTTGGAAGTGATCCTAGACAGATTCAATTCGGTCAAGTGTTCGGGATTGAAAAAAATAGTAAACTTCAATATAGAGCTATATGAAGCTCTATAGCTTGCATGAAATTCCGCAAAGAGGTTCAAAAAAATCAAATAATACTAGACATCATTTACGAACGACCCCCTTCATATATGACTTCACATAATGTGCCAAAAAATAAAATTTAAATAAAGAAGAAAAATATTGAAATTTTTTTGTATTTTATTTTTCTCGCGGTCCGTGCTCAGTTGTGAAAATATTGTGAAGCCAAAAAGATGTAAATTAAAAATTTTCAGTGAAAATTGCAAGGAAAAAAAGGAATTTTAGGGAAAGAAATAAATTTAATCAAATTGTAAGTTGACATGTAGTCAAATGTATTTAATTAATTAAGTTCAAATCCGAGTGATTGAAATTTAATTGTGCAATGTGTCAGGAAATCCTCTTCTCATGGGAACACCTTGAATTCCGAATCTAAAAATAGCTTTTATGACTTTTTGATTTCTTTTCTTTTCGATTCACTTTTTGTTTTGTTTATTAACAAAGCTACAAAAAACATGTTTTTTGAAAGGTACACTTCCACGTGCAGCAAGCACTACTGACTAATTATTGTTCCTTTTAATTTGTTATTGCAGAAAAAAGACTTAACGATGAGTAAGAAATTAAATGATCAACAAAAGTCGAATAAAGTTTCTGAATCGCAGAGACATAAAGCACTTCACGATGCTAAAATTGGAAAATTCCATGAAGCACTGATAAATTTCAACAAAAGTTTATGTCATGCTGAATCAAATACATCAACGATCGCACTCATTTACGCAAATCGCGCGGCTGTTTATTATCAGTTAAATTTACACGATAAATCTCTCAATAACATTGCGTTGGCACGCGAGTGTCACCATAACGCAGACATATTAAATGATTTAGATGAGCTTGAGGAGAAGTGCTATGAAAATATTAATAATCAACTAAAGTATGATGATCCATGGGAATATTTTAAACTGTCATACCCCGCAAATAAGAGACTTCCATTTATAATTGACTGTCTTGAAGTGAAAAATGATAAAAAATATGGACGATATGTGACGACTACTCAACCGCTTAATGCTGGGGACATTTTAGCGATTGAGGAGCCATTTTTTAAATTTTTAAAAGTTGATCCAGATGATAATGAATATCCAGAGACAAATCCTTACAATTACTGTGCAAACTGCTTACGGGACAATTATCTAGACTTAATACCATGCGATGGCTGCCTTACAACAATGTTCTGTTCCCGAAAATGCATGGAAGAAGGTAATCGAATGTTTCATCAATATGAATGCAATATCTTAGATGTCCTGAAAGAAACAGACAACTTCCGAATGGCTGTGAGAAATTTCTTTGTATCTTTATCAATATGCAACAGGAACATTGATGAATTAAAGCGGCTAATGGACGAAAGTGATGAAAAAAATCCAACAATTTTTAACTTTGATTTAAGTCTTTGCGAGAATAATTCAAAAGATCTTTTAATGGCCATGATGTCTCTAACGAATAAAACAAATGTACGAGTAAAAGATATGAGCTATGTCTTTCAACATCACAAGCTACTTAAAAAGTTATGGACGAAAGAAAAGGAATTTATAAATAAATTTCTCGAAAGAATGATGCAAGTTGAGATATTAAATTTTCATGGAATCAAAGGACAGTCACTGAATGCCAAAAGTGTGTTTCGTAAGTGTGTTGGCGATGGCTCGTATGCATTTTGTTCATTACTTAATCATTCCTGTTGTCCGAATGTAATGAGAATTGTTGTTGATAATCGTATGGTGCTGATTTGTGAACGTCCAATTAAGGCTGGTGAACAGCTCTTCGATTGCTATATCGGGTATGTTATTTACTTATTAACTTGTATTGTCCTTCACAAAATTAATTATCTTTCATTACATCTAGTGATAGCTTCTATTACAAGTCAAAAGAGCATCGACAAGAGGAGCTTGAGGATTACAATTTTACATGTGACTGCTTAGCATGTGAAAATGACTATGCTGACATTTTGTCTGGTCTCCTGCCAGTTATTAATCATCAAATATTCAGATTAGCTTATACTTCATACAAAGATCTACAAGATCCGAGGAAGGTGCTCACAGTAGAACAAGCTAGGATGCTTGCCAAGAAATATTCATTAATTCTTAATCAAAACTTCTCCGAAAACAGCTATCCATGCAAGGAACTAGTGATGCTTCAACTTTGTATTGTTAAATGCTTTCTTACTGCCGCATTTTCTCCTATTACTTTTAAATGAAATGTCTTTAAGATAAGATGAAATAAAGTTGTTTAATGTGTTGATTAAAATTTAAGGAATTGATTTTTTGAATGTCAGTGATATCAAGTGACTTATAGACACAGCATCTTATGTTAAATCGCTCTTTAATACTCAGTCAGAACTTCAGATTTCAGTAAAAACGGTAAAAACTCTAAAATAATTTACTGAATGATAACAGTCAACAAGTTTTACCAGAGAATGTTTGCTTCCTAAACTTTAAATATGTACTTCCATATTTACAGACTACAAAGAATTCTAGAAATTCCCTTTGAATATTTTCTATTATTTAACTATGCATTTATCAAACAAAGTTCTGGAATGTAAACTTAAGTACAGACAAGAATGTGAATGTAACGAAAATGATAAGGGATCGTTCACTTATGACGTCCGAAAATACGGTCATTTTTCAAAAACAAACAATGGATTTCCAGGAATTTCTATTGTTCTTTTCTTGCTGACCCCCCCCCCCCCCCCTAAGGCGTCCCCCCTTAGGAGCCGTTCACTTACTACGTTATGCAAAAAAACGACTTTTTTTAACCTCTCCCCCCCCCCTTGTTACAATATGTTACAACTCACAACCCCCCCTCCCCGTACGTTCATAATTTATTTTATCATTAAAAAGGTGAAAAATTTGAAAAAAAATTTTTTGATATGAATTTGTAAACAAATTTTTTTCGTGAACTTTTTTTTAAAGACAGACGACAGTTAGAACGTTACATACTTCTTGATACCCCCCTTCCCCCTATGTTACATTTTGTTACAATTTTTCAAACCCCCCCCTCCCCCCTAAAATGCGAACGTAATAAGTGAACGGCCCCTAAAGTAATGAAGTTTTATCTTTTGTGAGCTCCACATGACACACATATAGGAAATCAATTAGAGGGTCAAGAAGATCAACGAGTCATACATTCTTTTTAAATTATTCAAAACACAATGAATGTATTCATAAATGATGTGATTAGATATTTTTATTAAGCATAAATACATAATACGTAGTACTGGTTATGTGACATTAATACTGAAGCGTGTGTCTACACCAATTGTATCTAGACACATGTTTATCACAGTTGAATTTGTGATTTACAGTAGTAAACATCTGAAAAAAATGTGTAGAAACAAAAGCATGAGGTAAATTTAATTCAATTTTCACTCCTCGCATATCCAAAACACATCTCAATGGGAGCATTTTATTGTTTTATTTACAGAATCATATTGCTCCTATTTATTTTTACGATTCGAAAATTTGTCGATGCGAATCTATCCCTTCAATGCATAGTCAGCTATTTAAATTCACGAAATGCTTCAGAAGATATCTTTTCGTCCGTAGATGAATTCGCAGGTACAGAAGCTGAATGTGAAAGTTTCATAAGAATCAAAATTGCCGATTTTAATGAGAAGATTCTCGAGAAAATGGAAGAAGATGCGAATGTTCGACCACTTATCGATTGCTTTCGACACGAGACCCAATCGGAGGAGTATGAGATAATTACATTAAAGCTACAGGGCGTAGGTGAGAATTTTTTTCTCGATTTTCATTCAAGTATGCTTGTAAAATAGACCCGAGTAGCATAGTGTCTTCTTGGACTAGAAAAAGGGCAAAAGTTTATTGCATTTAAGTGAGGAAATCATTTTATCACAGAAGATCTAGTTAAGGTATTGATTTAGGAAGTAAATTAAAGTTCATAGTTTTAACTTACCTCTGCTTATGTGGTTTTTTGGTTCCTAGAGCTTGTACTCACTCAGTAGTGTACCGCAGCACACAGTTTGAGAACCACTGTTTCAAACCGTAGTCTTAAAACTATAGCATTCCCTAGCTTCATTTTATGGGTACCCTAACATTAGGAGAACGGTTTGTCCTAAGAGACAGACTATTTCTTGAACGAGAAAATAGAGAACTATACTAAATTGAAAGTAACCCTCCATAGAAGTTCATCTTAAAATAGATCAAATCCTCTTAACTTTCAATATCATCAAAGCTACTTCAGAACAACCTTACAAATCCATTATTTCTCGGGGCTATTAAATCGAATTTTTATTCTTTTTATCAAGGCATGCTTGACGTGGGCTGGAAATTCTGGAGAAACTCAGCAAAAGAAGCTAGATACGAAGAACTCAAAAAGGAAATTGGTGACCTTGGATCGAAAATATTGGAACAGTGTGCCGCAGTTGATCATTATGGAAAGTTCTTTGATACGACTTTAGAGAAACATCCACCTTTATACTCGAAGGGCGAGACAGAGTATTGTTTGAGACGATATCTTGTTGAGAAATATCTAATAGACTCATTCGCATATAATTTCAAAATAAACCCCAAAAATGTCACGATGGAGAATTACAATTGTGATCTTATCATGAGAGATATATTAGAGCCAGCATATGAGAATCTTAGAAAGGATGAAACTGAGTGTAGTTGGAATATTTTAAAGGAACATGGATATTATGATCAGCTTTTGAAAATTGAGCTTCTCTCTAAGCTGACGCTATCAATGAAAGAAAAGGCAGCAGAACGACAAAAGTTTATTGATGCAATGTTTGAAATCAACAAGAAGACGAGAGAATGTTGAGATTCAATTATTTTAAATAATTCATTGCATATCATTCAATCAAAAACATAAATGCCGCATTCATCATAACAAAATTTTTCATATTTACTGAAGTGTTTTAAAATAGTTGTAATGGATAGTTGTACGGAATTACGTCATAAGTTCTCTGTCATTTTAATTGAATAAATTTTTATTTTTGTGAATTGTTTTGAATTGGATAAAGTTTTGAGATAAAAATCTAGTATGTCGTTGAACTTTGAAGTGCGATGAGCACGATGCACTCCTAATCGAAACCTAGTCTATGATTTTTGAACATCATCTAAGACATTATTTAACTGATAAATTGAAGGTTCTTCTTCAATGTTTATCAATATTATAATTTAGTCTAAACTAGATTGAACCAAGTTTTACAAAATTACTGTAATAACGTGCTCAAAAAATAAATATAAAAATTGCTACTTAATTTTTAAATGTTATGTTGCCCAAGAGCAATAAGAACAAATTTTTATCACACAGATTTTTCTGTGATGTGACTCGTGATGACCACTTGTTTCAGTTTTTTTCATCTTACTTTTTATTACAGTAATTTTAAAGTGAATTTTACATTTGTGTCCATGTCATGCGGTCAATTTCTTCTGTGTGATCAAGTTTTGTAGATTTAGAGAGAAAGATTCTAAAGTTGAAGGACTTATGGGGTCATCTATGATGTTAAAAGCAAACAGTAGAATGATGGTAAATAGTCAAATGTTGCTTTTATGGTGGCAAAACAGATAGCTCACTTAGAAGCATGGGAATGTAATTTCAAAGCAGATGCAGCTAAGTTCTAATGTTTAGGTTCTAATCCTTATTATCTGCTTACCAAACTCTGTGCACAGTTTCAATATGTATTGATCTAGTTGAAGGGCAATTATTTCTCTTCATGGTCATTCACCAATAACGTCAATAGAAAAAAATTGGTCTTTAAAAATGATCAACCTTCTTCATTGCCACAATTTTTTTTTTCTCGAGTGTCAAATCCCTAAACCCTCTCCTACTTCATAAGTCAATGAACCGTTATCAATTGTTTCTTTTTTGAAACAGTTCATTCGCTCGTCAAAATGAAACATAGAGCGTGACTCAACAAGAAATAACCTTGACCTTGACTCACAAAAGAAAATTCTTTAAAATATTCTTGACTGGAACTGATAAGGAACCGAAATTCCTCTCTTTTTACTAAGAGTCTTATAAAAAGTATTGAAATATTTTACAGTTTAGGCAATAAGTATTAAAAAAATCACAACATCTAATCAGTATTGAAGGAAGCAGTTCCGTTTCTGATCTTCATTAGTTAAGTTCGTCATTAAAATATTTATTAAATCCTCAATCAAGTAATTAACATAATTTTTCTGATATTTATCCGTAACAGACATTAAGTATACTTACTAGTACCCTAACATACTTATTAATATACACTTGAGTATGTTACGGTACCAGTGAGTATACTCAATGTCTGTTAGAGAAATGAATCAACTTACAAGTGACTTAAAAATAAATACTCGTGATTCTATTTATAAAACAACAATATTACTAGACAGTAGCTTTACATTCAGCTACTAGCCTTTACAATTTTTTTTTTCTGTTTTCTTTTTATTGTATGCATAACTAAGTAGAAGAAAAAAGACATTCGCCGACAGTAATAATATTCTACTGATAACAATAAGTCCCGCCTTTTGGACAGTAACGGTTACGTTAAGTGATTCTCTTAATGCGCGTAGTATCACTCAAATTACTGATAATTTTGCATTAATTTGCATTCCTTCTAGTAGAACAAAATTGATAATAAAATGAAAAATTGATTAGGACTGCAGAGAATATAATTATTTCGTCATTAAGATTCTGTCTAGTCGTAGCATTGGAAGTGAATAAAGTATTTTTTTACAAAGTTTCAAATTTTTTTTTGGCGAGAACTCACAAGACCTTATTGCTCATTTTCGTGTAGGTTAGTAGAATTGTGTGAATGCTGTTAATTATAAATCATAGTTTTAGTGACAATGTATGACTAATTTAAAGTAATAATAGCATCAAGAAATGTGTCTTTTCGGGTTTTCTTGGCAAAAATAATTTTACTTCTGTAAAGATAATCGCAGTTTTGAGCTATTCAAAGATACATTAGATTCAGATTGATTTTTGATTAACTTTATACTGTGAAATTAGTTTTGTTGCTTCTAGTAATTAAAAAAATAACACATTAGGGGCCATTCACTTATTACGTAACGCTTTTAGGGGGAGGGGGGGGTCTAAGATTTTGTTACGGTTCAAACAAGGAAATTTTTTTTTCATACAAATTTTGTTACGAGGGGGGGGGGGGGTCTAAGAAGTCATTTTTTCGCGTTACGTAATAAGTGAACAGCCCCTTAGTGGACAATCTAATACAAAAATGAACAAACTCATTGATCGAATTTTTTTAAAAACTCTCTAATTTTGTGTTGTCTAAATTGTGTGCCGCGGCACACTTGTGTGCAGTAGAAGTTTTTGGAAATAATAAGAACCGCATGTTGTGTATGACCTCGGTCATGGCTTACTCTTAAGATGTGCCGTGGATCAAAAAGTTTGGACAACACTGCTCTTAATAATCATAAATATTTTTCGCGACTAGGAAATGATATTTTTGCCGCCAATTATTTTCGAAATGTTTATTTAATTTCATCATTATTAAAGTTCTTACTTTAAGAGTTCAATACACGAAATTCATAATATATTCACACGAGATCAGAGATTAAAATTTGTCACAGTTTCTCTTATCTTCATTAATTAATTTTAAATAAATACTTTCGTATGTATAAAGTTTTAAACTGTCAACATTATTTGTTTTCTTACTCATATTTTTCCAATCTTTCACATTTTAAAGTGAAGACTGATATAATGTTACAGATTTCCTTGAAAGTAATACAATATGCAAAATAAAACATTCTAAAACTTACATTTGAAATGGAAAAATAGAGCTAAGGCGATAGTGTTGAAAATTTTTATTTTCTGGAAGGGATTAACCTTTTTCTCAAAAAATGGGAGCTAATTGAATAAATCATATTTCGATCGAGAGACAATTTTGATCATTTTTGATCATTTCTGATCATTTTTGATCATTTTCAAAACCCTTGACAATTATCAAACTGTGATTTATTAATTAATTTAGACCAAACTTAGTAATTCGTCAAAAACAGACGTCAAAAGCGAACATCCCCTCACATGACCCATGCTCAATATTCTTAAAAACTTTGTTTTAAATTCTCAAATTAATTTCATTTTCTGTTCTTTTTCAAAGTCCAGAAACTGAGCAAATAACTCCCGACTCTCACCTAATTTTATTTTTATTGTCTATCCAGCGTCTCAGCAGACATGAAGTGAGTAATTTTGTATATTTTTATTATCAATGTATTTAAAAAAAACGTGCCTTATTTTATTTCCAGAATTCCATACCAAAACTTGACATTATTTTCGATTGGGATACTAGTAAGTGTCTCTATTGGATTTTATATAACAGAAAGTTACATTAGTTCTGTTGGTGTTGAGGAGCATACAAAAACAGCAAACTGTTTTACAGATTATTTGCGGAATCACAGCATGACTGATACATATTTTGAAACAGAACAAAAAATTACGAACGATGAAGATCAAAAAAACTGCACAAAAGATTTAGAACATTTTTATTTCCTTCAGGATATTGAGACGAACTTGTACTTATCATATGACACATCACAAGAACTATGCAATGCGCTTAAGGCTGATAAGAATAAGAAACTTTGCATATCAGAAAAAGATGTGGAAGGAACTGAAAATCAATCAACAGACAATAATAACTGCATTAATGTGAATCGGTACTTGACAAGTGATGTCCTTAAATTGTATGAGACATCCGAGAGTTTTTATGCACATACGAGAAATTATTGTGACGATGCACACAGTTGCTATACTTGCGTTAAAGACAATTTAAATGCGAAAGAGAACTATATGCTTAATAGACTGTACGCAAAAGCTATTCAACTGACTTATATCAAAATGGAATTTTGGAAATACTTTATAATGTGGACAAAAGTCGAGAAAATTTATAGTTCAACTAGAATTATGGAAAATGAGGCAGTAGAAACATGCAAAAAGGATTTAAAGTGTCTTTCAAATTTACAACTGAAAAGAAAAGAAAAATAATCAAAAATGTTCTGAAAGACATTCTTGTGCTATCAAAAGAATAAAGTATTTTTTAAACTGTGAACTGCCTTTTTAAATTGTGGATAAGGTTGAGACTGATTATATCCAGTTATAATACTTTCCCGTATACTGAATAACACAAGTCGTTTAATCGAATAGAAATCCAGCACCAAGCTGGCATAACTCTGATATAGTGCAAGATTCGATTGAAGTCTAGACTTGGTGCTGGATTTCTATTCTATTAACCAACTTGTACTATTCGGGCTCGGTAGTAAGAGGATTGTTAATATCTAGTTGTGGTTATGGCTCGAAGAGCATATCTGTAGTAGATAAGTCTGGGCATAGGGCTCGCGTGAAACTGATTATATGTGTATGACGGATAGCCGAAGTGAGATAAGTACCTCGGTGGTCCAGTGGCAAGGATCTCTGATTGAGTGGTCAAAGATCGCCTCTTTTGAGGTAGCGGGTTCGATTCTCATCAAACTGGACTTGTTTTACATTTGTATACACATACAACAGTGAAAGGCAGATCTATATTAGTTCCCAAACGAATTAAAACTCTATTTCAGCTCTTTCCATAAAATTGGCAATTAAAAGCTTTTCAGCATCATTCCTCTTTAATGTTCATCATCTCATTGTTCCAAAAATAGAACAAAAAGCTAGTTTAAAGCTAGTAAACCAATGACAATTATTTTCATCACCATCCCATCAACTTGAGTTTATCCTCGTTCTACATTTCTATAATCCTTTAAAATTACTCGTAAAATTTCAAAAACAATAATTATCGCAGTAAAATGCTCTGAATAGATGTAAGCAGATGGAAGTTAACAAGAGAGAAAATAAAGACATAAAAAAAAGTGGAATGAAAGGTTTATTTATGATTAATGTCATGCATAGAATGTAAATGAGTATATTAAACGCGAGAATGTTACTCCTGCATGCTTGATACTTGAAGAGATTCTCACATATGAATGAAATGAGACCATTATATGATTTTTTTATATGAAAACTTTTTTTACTGCTGTTTAAGTTTTAAGCATAATCTCTCTGTGCTGTACTTTATTCAGGATGTAGTAAATTCAAAAGCTTTTGAAATGAAAAGTTTTTTTTTTCAACTTTCCATCATTCTTTATTGAAACTGTAAACTGTTGTGTTTCCATGGGAAATTTAAAAACAGGTATTATGTCATTGACATTTTAATGGCAGATGTTGATGACTTTACACTCTTAATTTAAGTTTTTTACTTGATCTTACTCATTGTGTTGGAAGTGTAAAAATCATTTTTTATGTTCAAGAGTCTGGAATTATTTAAATACTCGACTAAAGTTGCATATAAAGTTACAATTCCTTGGCTGCATTGTGAGGATCATTGAATTAGTGTGACTCAACAACAAATTCATTTTTAATTGCTCATAACAACAAACATATCACTGAAAAATATGTCAGTATGCTTTGAAATTTACTTTTCATTTTTGTATTAATTTTCTTAAATTTCACTTCGATTTATTTTTTTATCTTCAAAAATTTTAAGTATTGTTAAGAGTTTCAATCGCGTCTTATTGGATACTACAAAATCACAAATAGTCAGCAATGAGTTCACGACATAATTCATCAAGAGTTCCATCGTCAATAACAGATCGAAAGATTATCGATGTAAAAGCATTAGAAAAGCGAGGATACACATTTGGCAAGAAAATAGGAAAAGGAAGCTACGGAAGTGTTATTGAGGTAAAATATCATGATCGAAAATTAGAAACAATTGTGGATTTAGCATGCAAATACGTCAACAGAGAGAAAATGCCACAAGATTTTCTCGAAAAATTCTTTCCACGTGAATTACACTTCCTGACAATCATCACGCATCCAAACATCATTCGAGTCCACAGCATTTTGCAAAGTGGTCCATCAGTTTTTATTTTCATGAGAAAAGCAGAGAATGGAGACTTGTTGGAATATATTAAGAACAATGGACATATTAGTGAGGTACAATCGAATTTTTGGTTCTACCAAATGGTTAGTGCTGTTAGATATTTACATTCAATGAGCATAGCACATCGAGATTTAAAATGCGAAAATGTTTTCATCACAAAACACATGAACGTTAAAATTGGTGATTTTGGTTTTGCTCGATATTGCGTTGATGAGACAGACGAGTACAGAAGACTAATGTCGAATACGTATTGTGGTTCTGCTGCATATGCTGCACCTGAAGTTGTATCAGGAAAACCATATGATCCACTCAAATCCGACATTTGGTCATTAGGAGTGATATTGTGCATAATGCTGAATGGAATGATGCCATTTGATGATAGGAATATAGCCAAGCTTTTAAAAGACCAGAAGCACAAATTATATCAAGTAAATTGTAATATTATGGTGAAGCTTTCAACAGAATGCAAATCAGTAATTCAAATATGCTTGGAACCTAATCCAAAATTACGATATGACAGTGAACAGCTCATTGATGTTAAATGGCTAAAGAAGCAAGTCGAAAAACATTCGAAGAAATAAAAATTCTCGTTTACTAAGTTTAGATGCTCTTTTAAGTTGGATAGAATTAATAAAAAATTATTGTCTGTTTGGAAAATTGGAAAGAATGTCAAGTTTTATTGAGCTTCATGGAAATACTTTGCCACAAAATTAAATGTGAATCTTGATGATTTAAGAAAATATTTACCAACTGTTATGGAGCTTCGTTGAAATTACTCTCTTGAATGGGAATTGAGAAGCTATTGGGTTACCTTCTTGGAAGGAGAATCTTCATCGTTTGTGTCTGAGGGAGATTGATCACATATAATGTTCAGATAAGAACTGAAGTCAGTCATTTTTGGATGATTAAGGAAAAAAGATGGTGCTGCAATAAAAACCTTCAGGCGCTGGTTTCTAGGACTTCCTGAAGTTCAAACCCTTAGGAATCAAAAATCAATATCTTTTAATTCAGGTTCATATATTTTGTTAAGGTTAGGTTGGATGCAACAGTATAACACAGACATGGTGAGATTAATTAAGGAAATTAAAGTTCTATAATTAACTCTAAAGGAATGGCTCAACAGATCTAAGATCGCAGTGCCTTTTAATCTTCCAACAATCCTCTGCCATGGTAGCCCTGGAAATCAGCTCCAGCATTGATCAGATAAGTTGAAGTTCCATGTGACTAAGACCAAAAATTCACCAATTTCCAATTCATGTGAGGATTAAAAATTTATTTTTTATTATTTAGACGTCATAGCCAAACAACCCCCATTGATCAAAATAGAGCTTTCATAAAGTCTCAAATTCTGTCATTCAAACTAGTAAAAAAACTAGTGTATCGGGTAGAAACCCAATGCGGATATATTCACACCGTACCATCAAAAGTCTTATGGATAGACCAAGATTTGCTCAGCATAAGTTTGAAGGGTGGGCGTGAAGTACGGCCGAGACCCATATCGACACAGTTCAAAAGTTATACCTAATTTATGTAATAATTATGTCAGCTACAAAAACACTTAGTTTGAAGTTTGTCACCCTCGGGAACACTATGAACCAGTATAGCTGATTTTGGTCCAAATCTCGGCCATACTTCACACTTATTTAAACCACATTTTCTCGTAAATGTTAAAATATTATTAAAAAGGAATTAATCCTGAATTATGAAGCTATTTTGTCAAGTGTTTTAAGATAAAGAATTTGTTTTTTGGTTTCCACAGTGAAGAGTATGAACAAAATTCAGATGGGGTAGTCGACATTTTAGATTTCGATTTTTTTTAAGCTACGCATTAAAAAAAGGAATATTGAATTGTGATTTATGTGAGAATTATGTCAATTCAAATAAAACATCCAAAAAAATTTTTTTGACCAAAGTACACTAGGGGCGACCCTAGTCAAAATCAATTTTGTCACTTTTTTCTTCGAGAGTTTATACAAATGGATTGAAAATTTGCATAAATATTCTAGTGCTTAAAACAAATACAAATAAAACATCCTAAAATTTTTTTGAGCAAAGAACCAAGTAGGAAATACATTTTCAATTTTGGACTTGGGGCGACCCTAGTCAAAATCAATTTCGTCACTTTTTTCTTCGAGGGTTTATACAAATGGATTGAAACTTTGCATAAATATTCTAGTGCTTAAAACAAATACAAATAAAACATCCTAAATTTTTTTTGAGCAAAGAACCAAGTAGGAAATACATTTTCAATTTTGGACTAGGGGCGACCCTAGTCAAAATCAATTTTGTCACTTTTTTCTTCGAGGGTTTATACAAATGGATTGAAACTTTGCATAAATATTCTAGTGCTTAAAACAAATGCAAATAAAACACTCTAAATTTTTTCTGAGCAAAGAACCAAGTAGGAAATACATTTTCAATTTTGGACTAGGGGCGACCCTAGTCAAAATCAGTTTTGCCACTTTTTTCTTCGAGGGTTTATCCAAATGGATTGAAACTTTGCATAAATATTCTAGTGCTTAAAACAAATACAAATAAAACATCCTAAAATTTTTTTGAACAAAGAACCAAGGAAATACATTTTCAATTTTGGACTAGGGGCGACCCTAGTCAAAATCAGTTTTGTCACTTTTTTCTTCGAGGGTTTATACAAATGGATTGAAACTTTGCATAAATATTCAAGTGCTTAAAACAAATACAAATAAAACATCTTAAAATTTTTTTGAACAAAGAACCAAGGAAATACATTTTCAATTTTGGACTAGGGGCGACCCTAGTCAAAATCAGTTTTGTCACTTTTTTCTTCGAGGGTTTATCCAAATGGATTGAAACTTTGCATAAATATTCTAGTGCTTAAAACAAATGCAAATAAAACACTCTAAATTTTTTCTGAGCAAAGAACCAAGTAGGAAATACATTTTCAATTTTGGACTAGGGGCGACCCTAGTCAAAATCAGTTTTGCCACTTTTTTCTTCGAGGGTTTATCCAAATGGATTGAAACTTTGCATAAATATTCTAGTGCTTAAAACAAATACAAATAGGGCAAGACCGTTTTTCGATTAAGTGTCAGATTTTGCTATTATTTCGTTTATATCTCTGTAACGAAAATACTTACAGTAAAACTAAACATACTGTTTTATAGAACTTTTTGATGCCTATCTTTTGGTATGTAACTTTTCATTGGAAGTACTATACTTAAGGCTGTGGAGCCTGAAAATAGGCAAAATCTGACACTGAATTTTTGGGAAGGGTATTTGAAATTTTACTAAAACTAGTCTATCTCGCTTAGTTTTACACCGATTTCAATAGTTTTTTCAGCAATAGTTAGTTTAAAACTACAGTTATCATTAAAAAGTAATAAAAATAAAATGGCGACTTAATAAGTTAATTTAATTAATGTTTTTAACCTTATTTTCCTATATTTTACTATCAATTTTTAACTTACTTAACTTTTTTCTTGACACAAATATAGTTTTAGACCTTGGCTTTATGATAGAAGTCAAAAATTTTTGAAAAAAGTAGTATAATTAACTTTTTTTGGTCATTTTGTAAAATTGCCTTTAAATGGCAATTGAATAGATATTCTTTTAATTTTATGATGTAAAATGATAATTATACATCAAATATGCTTAGTTTTAGCAAAATATATCACAATATAATGTTATAGAACAAGAAAAAAGCAAAAACTTTAAAAACTTTAAACAAAAATTTTCAACCGTTTTTGAAAATTTAAATTTTTGACTTGATTAAAGAGTTGTAAAATAAACTTTTGGTTAAATTAACTAAATTAGAAGGCTTTATTGCAGTAAATTCTTGCAGGAAAGTTGTAATTTATCATTAATTAATGCTTTTTGAGGGACAATAATGAAAATTTCATTAAATTTATATGTAAAATCAATTTTGGTTAATTTAACTAATTTTGTGTATTAATTTGAAAATGTGTGTATGATAAATGAAAGAAAATAAGATTCTCAACAACTTTTATGAACATATCAGCTCCTTTTACAGCTTCCTTCTTGGATAAAAATCACTTTGAATGTTTGATTTAGAAATTAAACTAACTTATAAAGTCGCCATTTTAAAATTATTGGGTTAAAAATTCAGTTTTTATATTTGGCTATAAGCCACTGAAAGAATTGTGACGATTGAATAACTAAACTCTGAGTGAATCAACTTTCAATATTTGTTCACTTTTTTCGCGGTCTTGCCCAATAAAATATCCAAAATTTTTTTTGAGCAAAGAACCAAGTAGTTTTTCACTTTTTTCTTCGAGGATAAATCCAAATACAGTAAAACTTTGTATGAGCATTCTAATTTTCAGGTCACACATTTCTGAATTAATAAAAATCATTTTTTTGGACAAAATTTTAAGTCACTTTGTTTTTGAATGTGCAACCAAATTTATAAAATTGGGTCTGACGACATATAGAATACATTTCTTGCTTTAGATATTTACAACTGTTTTGTATAAATATTAGTATACACATACAAAGTTTCACTGTAGTTGGATAAACCTTCGAAGAAAAAAAGTGACAAAACTAGATTTTGACTAGACCTGTCCCAAGTTCATAATTGAAAATGAATTTCCTTCTTGGTTCTTTGCTCAAAAAAATTTTTTTCATCCAAAGTTTAATTTAAAAAAAATCACAGTGAACTTTTAATTTGAAAAATTCGTAAGAAAGGAAAGTATTTTGCTTTTTCTGAAGCAACGGCTGTTCCTACCTTGCCCAAAAACAATACAGCTCTTCTATAGAGTAGCACGGATCAAATGTAAAAAACTAGAAGTCTCTACAATGTCTCGTTATTGAGATTTCTTGCTGATTAACTTGCTTGTTTGCTTGCTTACAGAAAGCGTATTTTGTGATTTTCTCAACAATACCGCAACCAATTTGAAATCTGTTTTTTTGCAAAAGATGTGAAATTCAAGGCACAAACTTTTCATTTCTGAACATTTTAAGCTATCTTGCTCCATATCCTCACTAAATTCAAAAATTGATTTTTCAATCTGAACAAAAACAAAACATTCACTCGTGAAAACAGTGTGAATATAACAATTTTTTTTAAAATCAATTTTCAAGGATTTTTCAATCACATTTTATTGAAAATTGAGAATAAGTTGAGATCTTCAGTTTTATGTGAGCTTTGAGAATGATTTTAAGTGATTCAATAAAAAAAAAAAATACTGAGTGAAAACTTGAAAAGGATGAGAAAATTTGATACGAATTTATATACTTCCATAAAATTCCATGTAGAGTTTCTTTTAAGAAATTGTTTGAGATTGTTTAGCAGTTATTATTATTATTATTTATTTGTCGACGTTACCGTCCGGAAGAATTAGGTATTTATACATGTTTTTACTTTTTATATTGATTAGTGATACATTTCATATCACTATGGGTGATGTAGAATCAAGCTTCTAATCTTCAAATCTAGGTTTCAAATAAACTAAGGCTCTCGTTTCAATCTTCTGTGGGCGTGACGTGATACTTTTCAGGTCCGTTCTAACAACATTCTATTCGTGGGTAATCTTGTAGCTCTCGTTCCTATTTCTCCCGCTACACTTCAAGTTCCTGATCCGTTCCTTAATCCAACGTTGCCCAAAATGCCCAATTATGGCTTGACTCGTACATTAAGCAGTCGAAGTATCTAAACTTCTGAAAAAGAACAAATTTGGAAATGGCTGGATTCGAACCGACGACCTTCGAGTTACCATACCAAATTTGAGCCAAGCGCCTTACTTATTCGACCAGCAAGGCACTTAACTGCTTAGTTATAGTATGAAAGCTAGCTTTATGATATGTTTTGATGTATTTCTAGACTTTCTTAAGGCAGTGATGTGGTAGCCAGGTGCCAGTTTTAGGATATAATACAGGGACCATAATTATTCAAAGGTCTTAATACTCTTGATATACTAGAGTATTGTTGTGTCTTAGATGCATTGAATCTAAGGTATTGAAACATATTTAGGCAAATATGTGAGTCAGTTGAGGAACCATTCGATCACAGAGACCTTAATTCTTGTTCTTAATAATCCGTCTAGAATGACTGTGGAATCCTAGAGCTCTTTTAGTCTTGATATTCACTATCTACCCGGTAGACCAGCCACACCAAGCTGAATATCGACAATCTCACCATCATAAAAAGTAAAAAGAATTTAATACAATTCCAAATCCATTACAATGCCTTCAAAAATTCCCCGAATCAACAATAAATAAAGGAACAGGCTGAAAACATTTCATGACACAAAATCTTCATCCATTAAGCAGCTAATGAAAGTTTCAAAGTGCAAATTGAATTTTCGCAAAACAAGCAAGATTTTTTAATTACTTTTCGTGTCTCCGTCATCTTTGTTAATTTAAGAATAAAATGCAAAAACGACAAAAAAATTTGTTGTGCGACGAGGAAAGGAAGCGTTAAAAATAAATTGAAGGAAGGTAGGAGGTTCGAAAGGAAATGGAAGGAGACAGAGCAGAAAAATTCAAATTGTCTAATTTAAAACAATGACAAAAAAATGAGTAGAGACTTTAGATGATAAAAAAAAACTTTATCATTAGTCCCCATACACAATGGGTGACGATGCATAAAGCTTTGTGCTTCTCTTTTTTTGCTGTAGATTTGTGAAATTGTTTTATCCCAAAGCTAGAGAAGAGGAAAACGTTGTCAGTTGTGTTTAATTAAAATGTTTCATGTCAGTGACTTGATGATGATATACTTTCGCTGCTTTATTGGGATCTAAATGCAGCTTAGTGTGAATTTGTTGGATATAAAATTCGATTTTGTTTGCTTGATTGAATTCGGTATGGATTTTTATTTTTAAAATGGGTAAATATTGACTGTGTGAAACCAGTTTGATATCATCCTTAGAACTCCTTATGATTAAATCCTTAGTTTTTAATAGAACTACAACTTTTCTCAATATTGGCAATAACTTTTGTCTTTTTATCTGCACACCATAGCAACTAAAGTCATCAATAAATAATAATAATAATAATAATAATAATAATAATAATAATAATAATAATAATAATAATAATCAATGCAAACATTGAATTGAATAATAATGTTTTGTTCTTCTCCGTTCTTCTTAATTATCTTCATTAAGGCCCTTTAACCGTACAATTCCTTGATAATTTTTAAGGTCCCAATATGCACATGCACCATCCCACTTACAGTCAGACACATATTTGAATGCACAAACAATCAAACAGCTATTTCAATATTTAATATCAGTTACAAAACACTTGAATTAGACGAAAAAGATGAAACAGATAAAATTTTAAACTTTTCAAAAGAAATTAATATTTACACTGTTTTTTCGTTATAAGCTACTACTCGTTACTAAGCTACTAGCTTACCCGAGCGACAATTTGTGGCGATGGCAGTTGTGTGATTGCCTCCAAACTGCCTTGCCTTGAACAAGTCGATTTCAAGGCACTGCTTCATACTGCATTGCCTTGTGGCTACCATACGACTGCCACAAAAACAAAATTTTTTTTTCTAAAATTTCTGCCTTGCTAAGGCAGTTACAAGGCTGTCATATGACTGCCACCGATTTCAGCATTGTTGCAACATACTTCACAAGTACAATCAGAAATGACTAATATAAGTCGAAGAAATGTTTCCATACTTTTCCTAAGATATTTTAAATAATATCTGTTGTGGCATGAAACTTTAACTGATTCGTGCTCCTTTCAAGACTTAAGTCGTGATAAGACTTAAACTTTTGAATCTCATTTTCTTATTAATTATAGTACAAAACCAAATTAGCTAACGAACATTTAATATTCAAAAAATCAAAAATTATAATAGAATTATAACAGTTTTTTGCTGCCATAATAACTGCCTTGTAAGCACCACCTCGTCAACACCCAGGCGATTACAAGGTAAGTTGGTCAGAAGTCGGTGGCAGTTTCAAGACAGCCTTGCGCGCGGAAATATGGAGGTCAGGAGTTGCCATCAAGGCGATAAGGCATTCGTATGGTGATTATTGATTCGCCTTGACTCAAGGCAGTTGGCAGCAGGCAACGACTTATGACCGCCTTATGGCTGCAATGGAGCGGATAAATGTCGCTCGGGTTAGTAAAGTTTTTTTGAACTTGAAATTTTTTTGTAATCTTTACTAAGCTCCTACCAAAAATAAAGTTAAATTAATCTTTTTCAACTTTCTAAGTATCAGTTTAAATGCCTTATGGCATTGTCAATGAAATAAAATCGGGAAGATAGCAAAATTTCTTTAATTAAGTCAAAAAATTCAAAATTTTCATTGAAGTTCAATTTCTTTACTAAGCTACTACTCGTTAGCAGAGGGCGAAGTCGACTCGGATTTTGTATGGAAAAGTCGACTTGAGTTCACTCGACTTCATACAAATTTCGAGTCGACTTCGCCCTCTGCTCGTTACTAAGCTACTAGTGAGCCAAAAAAATCACTTTTTTTAAATCACTTATAACGAAAAAACAGGGTACGACAAAATCTAACACTAAAACACATAATATCCTGTATTGCAGTTCGTATTTATAAAATTAAAAAACATTGAAAACATATTTGGAAATTGAAAATGATCTTAAAATTTATTAAAAAGGACCTTAATAAAGATAATTAAGAAGAAAAAGAAATAATTTTTAAGGCTTTTCAAACAAAACCATACAAATTCTAATAAAACTTGGTATGCAACCCTGAAATAAACAAACAAATCGCCATTTTGCATTCCTCCATTTTAAAAAATTTGTGGCTTAGAGCGAAATGTCAGAAAGACAAATGAACACTTTTATATTATTAATTAAAAATAATTCAACTTTATTGATTTCTTCAAACTAAATTGCTTTTATGTCATTTGACTCATCAGTAACAACATCCTTACACTTACTTTCGATAGAATCAACAAGTTTGACAACATTATTGCGACTGTAGAATGCAAGATCAGAGTGGCATGGATTGCCTCTGAACAGCAAAGATTTCAAGACATTAAGGCTATCAAAAGCACCAGAATTAACAACATGCATTGAGTTTACATCAAGTGAGAGATACTCTAACCTTTTGTTGTGCTTAAAAACATCGCTGTCCAATCTCTCAATATTATTATTCGATAAGCACAGCAATCTCAAGTCACTAAATGGTTCCAAATCTTCTTCGCGAAGTCTTTTAAGCTGTGAATTTCTAATTCTGATTGATTTTAAGTTGTCGAAAAATTCATTCAGTTCCGTTGGGAAGTAATGCATTGGAATATTTTCAGTATCAAATGACACGACATCAGAATTGCTATTTCCACTCAAATGATTGCCTTTAATGTCTGTAACCTCAGTATCAAAATCTATAATTTCACCATTTGTATTGCGGCACTCGTAAAAATTTAATAACATCCCGTCGTAGGAATAATGAAGTTCATTGTACCACGTTTGAGCTTTAAAATCACACTTGAAAGTCACTCCATTTATGTGTTTGAGGATAGCAATAAAAATGAATAATCTGAGGAAAAATTTGGGTTTTTAAAGGAATTTTTGTTGATCAAAAAAATTGCTTAATGTTACCTTATATTCATTTTAAATCTTTATATGATGTTTGTGCACTAAACTCGGAAATTAAATTGATTAAATTCTTTACTCCACGTTCCGATTTTAAAGCAATAATTTTATTTTTTGCTTATTTTTTCTAGGAGTAAATATTGATAGGGAATTTTGATGAGAAATGTCAAGGAAATTCTATCAAAAATTTACATTTAAAGAGTCAATCATTTTGAGCTCGTACACTTATTTGGGTACACAAAAAACAACATTTTTGATACTTACTAGGACCCAAGTTACAAAACTTGTATCTTACAAAATCCAAATCCCCCGTCCCTTAAAAGCAGTGTTTGAGCAGAGTGAATTATAAAATATTAAGCTCTACGTAGGCGAATCTGTCAGTCCGAGACTAAACCTAATTTGATGGAGTATTTAAACATTTGTGAGAATGTGGGTTCGATTCCTATTAGGACCTTTCATCAACCTTTTAGATGAGAAAGATTTTTAAATCCTACAATAAATGTTGCTGATATGACAAGGATTTGCGGAACGTTCATACTACAAGTGAGATGTGAGGACTTAAGTTACCGATACTTTTAACTTTATATTTAGAACCAAGAATTGACCAAGAGCTTTATCGAGTTGGTTCGTCGACAAGGGTGTGGTACTGATGAAATGATCAAAAATGATCAAAATTGATCAAAAATGATCAAAAAATGATCAAAAAAATGGTCAAAAATGATCAAAAATGGTCAAAATGTAATTCTTCAGTTCCAGACCCTTGTTCGTCGATCGATCAAATTAATGAGAAAATTTCTAAATTACCTTATCTGGTTCTCCTTTGCTTTTTCAGTTGCATATCTTGCAGGCGAAAATTCTTTCATACCAAATAAGCACCAATTAAATTATTCAATATTCTCAAAAGCGACTGAAAAGTCACAGAACCGACCTTTATGTTCTCCACAAAATAAAATTCAGAAACATCTGCGAGCACTTAAGGTATTTTTAAGTTGTTACTATATCGTAGACTAAAAGTTACGACATGATTTCGAAAATAAAAGTAAGCAACAGATACCAGAAAAAAATAAAAATTTTAATTTTGTAAAAAGCAAAAAAAAAACTGCGATTCCTAGCTCGTTGGATATAAGCTTTGTCGAAGCAGAAAAAAAATAAAAAATGGAAAATTTTTCCTCCCAGCCAAAAGCTTTATTTTTTCCCTATCGCATCGTTTATTCTCACAGTATGTAGCATTGGCATGTGTTTGTGGAAGGAAATAGCAGATGGTAAGAAGAAGTTGAATAAACACAGACATGGTGAGGATTAAACCCATGAAATAAAATTGCTTTATTAAAGTTTCATTTCTCCCCTCTTTTTTATTCCTACCCATAGATACCAAAAAGTTGCTATTTCCACAATTTTTACATTATAAAGGATCAACAAGTCGATAGAGAAAAAAATTATTAATTTAAATTTTTTACTGTGGATACTTTGGGGTCCGAAATTTACGATCATTTTTCAAAAAAAAAGAAGAATGGATTTTCATGAATTTCTATTGTTCTTTTCTTGCTGACCCCCCCCCCCCTCACCTCACCCTTGGACGTCATTAGTGAACGTTCCATTTTCATGATAATTATTTTTTTAAATCCCCAGAACAAAAAAAAAATTAAAGCCAGTAAAAAAGTTGTAATAAAGCCACAACTGAGACTTAATTGAAAAACTTTCAATATAGGCTGTATTTGTTTAAAGTTGGAAGAATATATCCCGAATGGCACAATTCGGTTAATCAATCAGAATTCCGGTACCAAGCCGTTGTGAGTCTGGCATGTTGCTGGATTTAAATCAAAGTCCAGAGTCAGGCTAGCTTGGCATTGGATTTCTGTTCGAATAAACGACTTGTGTTATTCGCGTATATTAACTTGTAGATGCTGATAAAGTAAAGGCTGTCCTTCAGAACCGAGAATCTCAACTCTCCTCTCGCCACTCTGTGTTTTTCGCTTGACCAGATCAAGGAGCCGTTATTAATGACAATTTGTTATTCTCATCAACTCTTAAGGATGGTCATCACCCAAAGCACAACATACAATTTAGCTTTGCTATATAAAAATGCTAATATCCCAAACCGGAAATAGAAAAAAAGAAAAGTCTTAAAAAGAATAATGTTAATTTCCTTCATTGCATTCTGAGAAGGCATAAATGATGCCTTTAAGGCTTCAAGTTCCCACCATTTAAAAACAATTTTTTTACTGCATAAAAGCTTCATTGTTGCTATTTTATTTCAATTACATCTTAATTATTTGTCTTATTTTCAGCAATTAATTTCGTATTCTGAGTACAAAGGCAGCAAGCATGCCTCTTTTGAATCTGAAGTAGCAAATGAAATATGGCCCATAATGATGGTAGACAAACAGTTTCATTAGCAAAGCACATAAATAAGAATCATTAATTTATATTCAATGCTAATGGAAAACTACATTCAGTGTGTCGTTGAAATATGGAAATGGATTTTTAAGTGCTTCATATTTTTGTGGTACACATTTTGCTGCATCCTACATACATTCGGAATTTATAATGAATTTCTTGAATAATTGATGTTATTTGTTTTATAGAAAATATTGGGAATGTAGAACTTAATTAGATGAATGGGTTCTTCGTTTAGCTGAACTAGGTTGGAATTGGCAGAGCTGCTAAAAACAACATGCTAACACTTTGTTGACTCTTTAGTTTAACTAGGTTTCATTCAAGTTTCATTGCATTACTAAGATATCCTTGATTATTACCTTTTAATGGCAAGGGGATAACATCATAATAGGAAAACGTTTTGATCCAAATTTTTAAGGGGATAACAACATAATGAGAAAAGTTTTGATAGAAAAAAATCTCGTCTAAAATTTTCTCATCATGTTGTTTCCCCCTCTAAAATTTTAATCAAAACTTTTTTCATCATGCTGTTTTCCCCTTGACTATTGCATAACTACTCGCTTTTAGATTAATGCTATTCTAATCCATTCCCCACCCCAAATTGATTACAGCCCCAAAAATCTCACACCCCCAAAAATCTCATTCAACAAAATTCCAAAACATTTTCACATTCATCATAAAAGACATTTAATTCCCAAAAAATACACTCAATCCCACCAAAATCGATTACTCGCCTGAAAATGCCACCAGATATTGAAATGTAATTTGATGTGATGATGATTGTTTTGTTCGTTCTTTTAATATCCGAAAGGCATCAATATGTAAAACTCATCAACGCCTAAATGAGTATTGAATTCTCATATTAATCGTGCTATGTAATTATCAGCTCATATTTATCATACATGGCAGTTATTTGAGAAGGTTCCGCTTTTGTTTAATTATCGTGCATTGAGTCAATCACGGAAATGTGGAAAAAGCGGGAAGGATTGTGTAATTATTAGGGAAATATAACATTTTTGGATGTTTAGTTATTAGCTTAAAAGGATGGATGTTAATTAAATGGATTTATGAGAGTTGAAGGGCACAGACGTGTAATCAGGGGAAGGGGTTGGTCAGTAGATGCCCTCTTTAGGTGTGTAGTCAGGAGGGTTTTGCCTCCCTCTTAAGCGTTTTAGACTGTGCTCTCGTAGCGGTTCAAAACGTTTAAGGGGGGACAAGACCCTCCTGGCTACGCACCTGGCCCTCTTAATACACACTTGAGAAGATCTGACCTAAAGATTTACATTTTCCCAAAATTCAACTCAAAAGAGGCACAATGAAATTTTATATGATTACAACTCATTCATATATCTTGTTAATTTTCAATTTACACGTTGAAAAAAGCTACAGCAAAAGCACATGTATTCCTGATTCGCCAAACAAGCTATTCAATTTTATATTATTAATTCTACTCAGTTGGAGAAAATATTCCAAAGTTATTGACATTTTCCCAAAGAGACAAACAACTCATTCGAAATCAACTCGCATTTATTGGAAATCTCAAAGCTCCAACTATCTCTAGACAATGCTGAAAAAGTCGAATCATCACAACAAAATGAATCCAAATGGTTTACTACAGATGATGATTTATGTTGACAATTTATGTATTTATTTGTGACACAATTGAATTTAAGTAAGTATCTTTGTTTGTTTTATGTTGTCAATTAAAATTTATTGGCAATAATATCTCTAATGAAATGGTTTTGTTACATTAGGTGGCATTTCGCTATAAAATGGATGTCCATAAAAGCTACTGAATTGGTCAATGACACTGTATGCGACTTTTGTGAGGATTATCATTTTATTTATGGAATTTATGGGGATATTTGCGATATTAGCTTTGTGAGATATTCATTATTTTTAATGTTTTGGAAATGAAATAGTGAAGATAGAGTTGGAGTTATTGAGAAAAGTTATCTTGCGTCTTATTGGAGATTATGAATGATAAAGGAGTGAGATTTGTAATTTAGGATAGCTTTTTGGTGGTTTATGAAGCTTTTGTTGACATTAAACTATAAAATTACCAAATACATTATAGCTACTCTTTTAGAGACCGAGAATTTTTTTGATATCTATATTGAGAAGAGAAGGTGGCATGTCTTGACCAAACAAGACAAAGTTTTAAAACATCTTAGTTGGCTTGATCCAAATCTAGTCGATCCTAGTTAAACCTAGTCGACTTGAGCCAAATCTAGTCGATCCCAGCAGAATCTAGTCGACCCCAGCTGAAACTAGTCGACCCTAGTTGAACCTAGTCGATCATAGTTGAACTTAGTGGAATGGAGTTGAACCTAGTCGATCACGGTTGAACTCAGTTGATCCCAACTGAGCCTAGTCAATTCAAGTTGAATCTAGTCGACTAGTCAACAAGTCAAATCTAGTCGATTCCAGTTGAACCTAGTTGACTTAAGTTGAACCTAGTGAATCATAGTTGAACCTAGTCGATCTTAATTGAACCTAGTTGATCTTAATTGAACCTAGTCGATTCTAGTTGATCTTAGTTGATCCAAGTTGATCCAAGTTGATCCTAGTTGATCCTAGTTGATCCTAGTTGGTCCTAGTCTATTCAAGTTGAACTTAGTCGATTCTTTTCGACTCCAGTCGAACTAAGTCAACTCTTATTAACCATAATTAATTTTTGTTGACTTTAGT